ATGAGTGTTGAATTTAAAGGTGATACCGCAGCTGAGATCCTGAAGAATCGCTTATGCAGATCACTGAGGAGAGCCTTCTTTACAGCTGAGCAACACATCAATTTCTACAGCCAACAAAAGTGTGAAGGACAAACTGCCACTTTGGGCCACTTCAATGTGTGTTTATAAATTCACCTGCTCGCGTGGAGCTAGTTATATTGGCCGCACAAAGCGCACACTTTCCAAACGCACCTCTGAACATTATACGGCATGGTTAGCAAAAGGACAATGCAAGACAACTACTAGCTTACTTCTCGAGCACTTGGTGAACTCAGGCCACGTAGCTCCACCAGAGTCGTCTTTCAAGATCACCTACAAGGTGAGGCCAAATGGTACAAAGGGCGTCAGGTTTTGGCTTTTGTGTATGGCGGAGGCGCTGGCAATTCATCAATACAATCCCGAACTCTGTATACGGAAAAAGGTTGTCCAGTCTCTTATTCTATCTTGGTCTTAACCTCTTCACTAGTCATTCCCTGTAAAAAAATTTAATTCTTTCTCTTTTCAATTTCACTTTTAGTTTGCTTTTGCTTTCATAATTAATTCACTATTATCACTCTCATATACTCCTTTCGTACATTTTCACACCCTCTTCACACTTGTTAAAGTGATACTCAACTACCTTTATTCTCACTCAATAGCAATTTTAACCTTATCAAATTTCGAACTTTGTGCCATTGAGTACCACGTAATTTACAACTTTTATTTTTTTACTTCTAAAGCCACTTCCGAGTAATTATATCAATTATGTAACCCCTATTACTCAATAATAGACCACTATATATTTTTGTAAGTATAAATACGATTGTACAGCCTCTGAAGATGATTTCATCGATGAAGAAAACTTTCTTCACTAAATTTGTCTTTTATTGTCCAAAAAGAGCTGTCTCAGTGGTAAATATTAATTAATCTCTCTACCTTTTTGTTTCTCTTCATATAGTTCATTTTCCATTAACACACTGGAATGAAATATGATTTGGACTGCTTCATCACTATAACTTTCAATTATAATACCGCATTTCAACAGAATCATTTTCTGAAAGCCATAACGGAAATTTAGTTGTCTTAACTTCAAAACAACCTGATACTTTTGGATCTCCGAGACATGCGAGCTTTGTTACATTCAAGGATAGATTTAGGCACTATTATTAACCCACAGACATACAGGAGATAAGACTTTAGTTTATCAATTACAAATGTAAACTGGAAATGATATTGATGTAAAAATTTGAAGCACTATATAAACTTCAGGAAGGTATCGTCAAACGACAGTAAAATGAAATCATGTCAGATATTGTTCTCAAGTACTGGTCTTGTACGGATTTGTTTAGTTGGTTGGAGGATTTCGTCATGAGCTGACATCAGTTAAAGAACCAGTGGAAAACCTGGGAGTACTGGGTTCGAACCCCGGTGGGCGCGTACTGATGAAGCGTTTTAAACTAGGACGAAACAGCCGTCCAATACTCCCAGGTTTTCCAATGGTTCTCTCACTGATGTCAGCTCATGAAGATATTGTTCTGGCGATTCCTACTCCGTATTGGTAGACATGTTGTAATCAGCACAGAATTTGTCATTATTGCGTAATTGTTTAAAATACTGCACTAAAAAATGAACCCAAAAATCTAGCTTAAAAAGACGGAAGACGGATACATGAATAATAATATCATAAGTGATAAAGAGTCATTAAGCATAGTGGTAAGCAGACAGAAACGATAAAAATATATCTGACAGTATGAACTACATGAAGGCAAGATATGGATGCATTTGAACCACTGTAATTGATTTTGAGCCATATTACTCAGAACATGGAACCAACTAGTTTAATTACTTTATTAGATTCATCTCAGTCCATGAAATCATTGATGGCTCGCATATCTTACCTTTCTTCTGATGATTTACTCATTGTGAACTATGAGAACATGGATGTGTTGGTCAACTCTGAGTACGGAAAACCGCCTGCTTTTCATATCTAAGCATCTACGTTTGACCGTATTGCGAATGATTTTGAGGAGAGAACAATCGTTTCCCCATTACCTTACAGGCGATAAAATACTTAGATAAGGCATATAACCCTGAAACCATAGTTAAATAAGGAATATATATAGGTACAAGTAGCTAAATATAAAAATATTCACAATGACTTTTGTGAAAAAGTACAGATCAAAAGTCAACTTATTTCAAATGTAATTGTCACTGAAATATATTTACACAGTTTTTGAAGTCAAATCTACATTCATCAGAACAGTGAGGATACAAAAATGATATGTTCAGTATGACAGTACAAAAACTATATAAAAAAAAGGTCATCTAACAAATTCTTATTTATTTACATTCAATATTCAGTCCTTAATGAGATATTTAACGGTGTCCTCATTACTACTAAATATTAAACTAAGCTGTGCATATGTTAACTACGTCATGTTATGTTGAAAGTATTACTGTGGTGGTATGATACAGATAGTGTGTGCCAACGGAATATCATTCTCACATATTCCCATAGTTCAATACGGTATTAACAACAGAATACGATATATCTATTGGAATATTCTGTTTGGTGCTAGAGTCAGAATATAATTCCCACAGTTCGATAATGTGTTAACAACAGAATACTATGTATATTTAAACATTCTGTTTCATGTCGTTTATTGTAAGCCAAAATCACACGCTCGAAGATAGGTTAGAGAATATAAAACCTGTATCTATGTAAATAGTGGCTTGATCATTTGACAATATACCTTTAGCTTCCGTGTCTTGCCTTCTATCGTTACATTACTACTAGACTTCATTCAGGATAATAAAAAACTATGTGATGAGTGATAATTAGGGTTGAGATGAAAATCTCAGCATTCAAACCAGAAGCCTTCGGATACCTACCTAGGTTGACACTATCAGCTAGATTACGAGAAATAATAGTTAAACTTGTGAATTATAACTTAAGCAGCTACATCAACTGAAACAACTATTCCTCGACGTTTCTGTAATACCACATTAGGTTAATCTAGTGAGTGATTTGAATTAAGCTGGAAAATATCATTATGCAAATAAGTTACACCAAAGTAGTGGTAAGACTGGAGAGTCTTACAGTTGCAATTCTAGTTGTTTTATCTTTGCAATTTAGTAAGTGGGACTATTCAACTTAAACCATGAAAACTGCGCATTTCGCCTTATCCCGTAGCTTTTATCCGCAGGAGGTCGACGAAAAAGATCTTTATTGGCTCTAAAACAGTGTCAATTTTTCTGAGTTTGTAAACGAGTGAGCAGAAAGACGATACCCGCATCTGCCACATCCAAATGACCCCTACCATCCAGATAACATACTGCTTCAATTTTCTCTGTAGACTTTATAGTTTCCCTATGGATATATAGCTTATCGGCTTAACCGCTCGACCATTAACCAAAAAGTCCTCATTCTGGATTTCACTCCACTTTCTCCTGGATACTATTATCATCCCTCATACAATAAGAGTGGCTCATATCTCGGTGCATGAGAAATGTATTCCTGATAAGTGACTGCAGTTTCTGAACAAAACCCCTAAGTACATAATGAATAAGTTATGCTACAACTTAACTCAGAACATCACAATTCCATAAAGTAAGTACTATCCTCCACTAAATCAGGGTGTAAACAATACGCATAGGTGTTAAAAATGATCTTAGGCAGCATAATTAACAAAACACATATGCCTACAAAGCATGATTCAGTTGATAATCAAAACTAACACAGAATACAGGCAGACGAAAGGGAATAAAACTCTGCGTAGTTTAATTCAGAAAGTTGTCAACGACTGAAATTTAGAAACATGTCAGTATTTACTTAACAAAATCGTAGAAAATGAGTTGATTTCAAAGTAGTTTTTATTAAATTGAAATAAGCTGAATACCACTGAAAACCGAGTAACATAAGTTACGTGTTCGCTCTCACTACTGGCATGTTGTGTGAGCTTAATAAAATCCATAGCTAATTAGTGCTGAAGATAAGGATCACACTGAAATTAGTGGCTTAACCCTGGAAAATTCAAATTCAGAAAGTAATAAAAGTCACAAGACTGAACTCCTTTATATTGATAAAAACGAGAATAATTTAGGGAACTTTTGGAACACAAAATTTGACTTAAACTTTTCACATAATAAATTACTAAAACATACTTAGCAGAACAAGACAGACGAAGGTAGAGCTTATGTTTACTGGAGTAAAATGCGATGAACATCAGGCAAATATCAAATTCTGAATTGGTTTCACTACTTGTAAATAATATCATTCATCCTGTACCAGGTTTGTTTTGTTTTATGTTGCCTGTTGCCTTTTAGGTTCTTCTGGGACTTTTTCCTAGTTTATTCCTAACGACATAAATTATAATTGCTTTTCCAAAGGTATTGTTCTATAAACTACTTATATCTATTTGTTAGTAGCAAACCACACTACGTTGCATGAGAGCGTGAATGATGACGTAAAAGAATTTTCATTAAGAATATTGTTTGGACTTTCATTCCAAACATCATTTTTGTGAACAAGTCAACAAAGATCCAGGTTGTTAAGTAATCACAAAAGAATGACCATTAAATCTAATTTTATAAAACCATCCTTAAATAAAACATCTGATTTAACCATTTTAAAACTATATTGAATTTGAAAGTTTACAAGACACATATTTTTTTTCTCAAAACAAATTTCAGAAAAGTATGGTTTAATGACACCAACATTACGTTGGGAAACACAATGGTATATATATATAAAGCACATTCTGGATTCTATCGCCAGTTACTGCAAAATATGAGAATACAATCCAATGACATATCTATTCTGCAGCGTCTGTATAAAATGAGCATATTCCGAAAGAGTATGATTAATTCAGTCTTGTAAATCAGTTACGGCAAAAATCAAAACACCCATCAATTACTTTTTTTTACACGATTAAAGGCTGAGCAAATTCAAAGTAATATAAATGTTTTTACACAGCATTTACCCGATTCCAATCGAAGAATAAATTGCGCATTGCATAACCAGAATCACGCCATATACGAAAGAATTCACTACCAGGATAAGGTAGAGGAATGATTATAAGATCATTGTAGCGTCCCTGTTGATCCACTTTTTCTGAAGAGCTGATGCTATGCAACAAAATAACACAATTACGTGAAATGAATTTAGGCGCGTAAATGTACTGACATGAAAAGAAGCCATCAAAGACATTCATATATCTATAAATTTATGTATCTAGTTGAAAACTAAACCGACTGTTATTTCCAATTAGAATCTAACGTCAACTCAAAGAAAAAACGCGTAGAAACAAAAAAGAATGTGACTCAACAGTGCTTAGTAGTCAGTTATCTGATGATACTGTCTAGTTAATCAAATTTCTCTACGATCAAGAACAAAGTGATAGTGATTTTAATACTAATTATAGGCTAGAAAACAAAAAAAAGAGTGGAAAAATTTACTTCTTAATACACATTAAGTTTATGGATGGAATGAGATGAGTGAATTCTACATACTTTCAGTTATATTTTGAACGCCTTTAAACAGCCTTAACAACTCCAAGTAACTCACACTAAGAATCACATAAATTGCCGTAACTTAGTTGGATCGTAGATTTTTCCATCTACATCTTATTCAAGGTAGGAATACAGGTTGAAATATAACATACATCTTGTGAATGTAAGTCAGTGCGACTTATATGAATTACTAATGTCTCTTACTGTTCTAGAATGTCTTGAGTTAAGTGATTTCGTGGACTTCTAATATGTTTCGTTTGGCTAATCACTATAGTTAGCACAGATGGATGAACCTTACTGAATACCTAGTGGATGTAAAATGAGCGCCACTCGGTACTTTGAGCTCTATAACTTATCCAACTGGGTTTTCCTGTTGTAAGAAAACATTACCATAATTACAGCTATAAAGTAAGAAGAACAACACTTCTGTGTTAAAATAATAGCTACTTTTCATCAGTAATATAAGGAAGTTTAAACTAATAACTGAAAACAGAGCTCAATGTTTGATAAAATGGTCACAATCCTAATGAAATAATCACCGGGAATAGCTCAAACAACTATAAAAAAATAAGGATTGAGTGCGTTCAGCCGTTTAAATACCTACAGTTGAACTTATTTTGTGTGAAAATTCATCCAGGAGATAATTTTCATTCCTTTAAAATATAATTAAATAATGTAGGATTCAATACTGATTACTATTATTATTATTGCATCCTTTAATTCTTAGAGGAACATAGGGCTTCAGCCGTGCGTCTCCATTGCCTTCGGTTCTCTGCTAGTCTTCATCTGGCTCCATGTCTGCCCACAGGTTTTCATCGCCTCTTCACATGACCTCCTCCAAGTCACCCTTGCACTGACGACCAACTCGCCGCTTCCCTTTCGGGTTCCACTCGAGCAATGGCTTGTCTAGTGATGTCACTTGATGGTTCCCTCAGAGTATGGCCAATCCATCTCCATTTCTTCCTGCCTATTTGTTTCACAATCGGTTCCTGGTTGGTTCGCTCGCAGATATCCCTCCTTTTTGCTGATCTTTTCCGGCCGGCCATCTGATCTTGAGTATTGAGCGAAGACAACTGTTAATGATAACAGACATGAAACAACTTTCCTACATAAAAAGAGGATCATAATATCACATCTTGACTACGGTAGTCTCGGTAATAGAATTTGCTTACGATACAATAGTAGATGACGCAATTTATTGAATACACTCATATATTAGTAAATTATAATATGATGATTAATGTCGAATCGGTCATTCCTACTGTCCCAATAGTAACCAACAGTTAACACAGTAATTCTTTCTTACACTCAAAATGTATGTAACCGCACTCTTCTGCATAATACTGTTTTCAGATGAAAATCAAAAAATGGACACATCTGCTTTAAACCATTTTCAATGGTAATCATCTTTGATACTTTCATGAATTACAATAACGATAATTCAGAGATTTACTTTTGAATGTCACTTTACCGATACAGCTGTCTGAAAATCACCCTGCATGAGGTTTAGTTAACTTTAATAACTGTTACTCCTTCAATTGAACCACCAGAGATTGTGCATACTCTTTGGTCGGTAATGGCCTGATTTGATGGGCTTAATTCCGTAACTATGCGTAAATGGCGTTTTCAACTGGTATTTCAGTCAGTCAATTTTACTTGACACTATCCCATCAAAATAAAACAAGATGAAGTTTGAGAATATTACTCGAGAAACTAAATCTGAATATAATTAGAGCCAATCGTACTGCTAGTATGGGACTATGAAAAGTTCATTTACTGGAGTTTTGGTCATCTATTCGAAATTATAATATTTAATTGCATGACTTTTAGAATAATAGATCACTCGGATTAGTCAGTATGGACTGCAAATTCAAAGACTATGGGGATAGCTTGTTCAATGATTCTTCAGTCAATACTCTTTACCTATCGTAATACATGCGTTAACTAAGATGATACTATATCTGTGAACTAATTAATTATTATTATTGCCTTGGAAGTGGAACACATCTCCACTTTGTCTTTTCCTCCAAATTTCTCCTTAGATGGTCCTAAAATTTAGCATGAGCCAATAGCAAATACAGAGCAATAGTTACATAGTCAAATTAATTCTTTCTACTAGTGCTTGTGTAAATGTGGTTTTACAGCTAAAGGGAAATGTATATATTATGCATTATACATATGTATATATATATTGGAAGTTAGGTGAAGAACGTTGGAAATCCATTCATTTGGCCTCTGAAGATACCCAGCCTCCAATCGGAACAAGTAGATAAAATAAAATAGGCTTAAAAATATAAGTTCAACAACCAGGTGGTGTATAAGCATTTAAACAACTTTCTTAATAATTTTACTTAAACGATTCTTTACACGAAACAAAAGCTGTATAATGTTATATTCTATAACCTGAAAGCATGATATTTTTTTATCCTTCACGTTCCTCAGTGGAACAAGCTAGTGGCTTGAAGTTTCTGTAGCAGTGTTTATTTTACAGGATGGGATTGCCAGCCTCATGCCCAACCTTTCCTCTTCACCAGCATTATTACTGGCTTAGCGAGGTAAAGGAGTGCGTCGGCCGGGGATCGAACCCCGGACCATGTGCATGGTCGGCGAGCGTCCTAACCGCTATGCGTTGAAAAATTTGCCTCACAAGTGAATTAAGCAGTTTTATAATGTAAAGCCAATAACAGCTCTATAAAATGCTGCTACTGTGGAAACTATTTTCAAATGTTTTCTATTTTATTTAAAAACTGAATAAATATATGGTTATTTATAACGATACTGATAAGTTTACTGGTTAGAATATCACGCTAGTAAAGTCTCATAAGTTAAACCAAGGACAATCATGTTGGATAAAACTGTTAATTTGATGACTAGGGAGTGCAATGTTAAGTAAGCAGAATGACTAGACTATAATAACAATAATAATACAAAATGTCTTAAGCATACGGGAGCAGTTGTTCAGTGCAAATAAAAGATTATTAACAGTAGTACTTATGATAATGAAATGACTTACGGAACCCAACATTTTATTTTTCTATATTCTAACATAAAATCACAGATATAGGTGACATTTAAACGTCGAATCAACTCGCAGTCATCATCACGCAATTTCTCCAAACTCTGACGCCCATTTTCTGTCCTGAAAGTTAAGTACACACATAGACAATATGATGCAAGATAACTAAAGAAATTAGAGGTACAGCAACCGCCTAAACATTATGAACACAGCACTATTAATATCAGTGGCTTATGATTTACAAGGCTGAAATTTCTGACTGTTTAAATATTTCGAATCCATTAATAGTTAGCTAACCTCGCCTAGTTTAGTGGCTGGCTGCTTTTCTAGCTGGTCCCAAGCCCAGGAAAAGGGAGAGGGTTGGGCGTGGGGCTAGCGTCCCTACACCACAAAACCAATCAAACTGCTACAGAAAATTCAATGTACAAGAAATATATTAAAAACACAAAAAATTTAAATGACAAAATTATTCTTCACTGGAATCATAAGGGCGAAATGTAGCGGGCTGGTGAAAGCCTTCCGGAAGCCAGTAAGCCAATGTGTCCTCTCTCGATGAAACCAAAAATAAGAAGGGGGACATGGAATGTAAGTACAATGTACGAGGCTAGGAAGGCTTCCCAGGTAGCCCAAAAAATGCGAAGATATGGTATAAAAGTGCTGGGAATCTGAGAGAGCAGATAGAATGGGTGTGGATTATGAAAATTATCAACTGGAGAGCCGGTAATCTACTCCGGTCTGATCATTCAGACGACAACCAAGAGCACATTGAGGGACTGAGTGGCTATCATGATGTCCCCTAAGCTCTAATTAAGTGGGAACTAGTCTCCTCCTGCAGGATCACGACAGAAAGATTCAAATCAAAAGGAAGGAAGGTCACAGTTATCCAGTGCTACAAACAACGCAGAAAAAGACAAGGAAGATTTTTATAGACAACTACGAACAGTAATCGACAACATCCTAAACGGTGACATCAAAATCCTCATGAGCTATATGAATGCCAGCTGAACTGGGAGCTCATAATACAGGAAGGGAATTCAACATGTGTCGAGAGGCTCTTACTCGGCGGAGTGAATGACAATGGAGAACTCATCGCAGACTTCCATGCTTTCAATGATTTGATGATCGGAGGCAGCGTGTACAAGCACAAGGATATACACAAGGCAAGCGACATGGATTTCGTCTGAGAGACACCACAAACCAGATAGATTTCATTTCAATGTTGTTCAAGGAAGTGGAGAAGCATCCTGCTGGATGCCAAATCGTGAAGGGGAGTAGATGTGCGCTCAGACCATCATCTAGTCCAAGGAGCCCTCAAGGTGAAACTGAAAGCCTTCAGAACAACTGGAAACAGGTCAAAACTCAAGTTCAACATTCACAAAATTGAAAGATGCAACTACAAAAGAAACCTTCATTGCATACATCAGGGCGAAGTTGGAGTCATTACGAGGTATCACTGAGGAAACCTGTGTGGAAAACCACTGGAACTCTCTGATGGTAATGTTCAAGGAAACGTGTACAACCACTTTAGGAGGAAAGAAGAGACAAGACAAGGAATGGCTCTCAACGGACACCTACGTGGAAGCTAATAGAAGCGAGAAGACGAGGATGGTGAAAGAGAAGATGACCCAATGCAAGGATGGAAAACAGAAGGAGAAGCTGAGTTCAATGTACACTGCACTGAGTAGAGAAGTAAATAAGTGTGCTAGGAAAGACAAAGGAAACTGACAACTGAAGCAGAACAGGCAGGCTGAAGATAAAAGAGACCTCTAGACCTCAGGTAACCAGGTCTCTATCTGGGAAGAGATCAACCCAGATGGTGATACCGATAAAAGATGTTCAAGGGAACCTGATTACCAAGGAGGAGAAACAAATCAAACAATGGGCTGATCAATTCAAAGGACTCTTGAGTTGACCATCACCTGCAACTCGTTCAGAAATACACCATTAGCAACAGCACGCACAGAACTACCTGCTAGTGGACACTAATCCTCCAACAAAAGTAGAAATCCTAAATGCGATCAGGTTACTGAGAGCTGTCCAGGAAGGCAGCAGGGCAAGACAGCATTCCCCTAGAAGCACTGAGAACAGACCCACAAACTGCAGTAGATATGCTGACGCCATTATTGCAAAAGGTTTGGCAGGAATGGAAGCTGCCTACCGATTGGAAACAAGGCTACCTTGTCAAGCTACCAAAGAAGGGTGACTTAAACTTCGGCAACAACTGGCATTGAATAATGCCTTTGTCTAAGCCAGGTAAAATACTAAGTCGCATCATCCTGGAGAGAGCGAACAAAAGGTGCCCTGGATGCCGAACACCCTCAACCCCACAGACCAGAACAAGCTGGATTCTGGAAAGGCAAATCACCATGTGCTGATCAAATTTCAACTCTACGCATCAACATCACACAACAAAACATAGAATGGCAGTCAAAACTCTCTCTACCTCAACTTCATCGACTTCGAAAAAGCCTTCGGCAGACAATGTTAACCAAGAAGTAATTTGGAAACTACATCAACACTACGGCGGGCAGTGCCCAAATATTTATCAACCGCATTCAACAGCTGCCTATTTGACAATGCTACGTGTCAGGTGATCCACGACTGAAAACTCAGCGAAGCCTTTGAAGTGAAGACAGGAGTAAGACAAGCTGGCTGTCTGTTATCACCAGTGATACTCATAATTGTGGTGGACTGTGTCAGATTGTGGGGATCGGGAAGACAGAAATACGTTGGACCGATAAGAAGAATCGAGAAGACCTGGATTTCATAGACGGTTTATGTTTAATGTCACGCAAACTCGAACACTTACAGGAGAAAACCAACAAACTGGCTGAAGAAGTAGACAGCGAAGACAGGACTGTAGGTGAACATAGAGGTGACGAAGATAACCAACCAACAGCAACAACAACCAGCACCAATCATTATCAACGGGAGAAATTCGACAGAAGTTACTTCCTTCGCTCATCTAGGGAGCATCGTTTCAACCACGAGCGAAAGGGATGAAGATGCCAAAGCTAGGCAGAATCGGAAAGGTGAGATACGATTTCATCAACCTGAAACCAGCACTCCACCGAATAAAGAACAAGATTCGTAATTTCAACACAAATGTCAAGTCAGCCAGTGCTTTCATTTGGGTCAGAAACTTTGCGCGCTTAATAGAAAGCATTTCCAACAGGCTACGGTAGACTTTTATCAACAGTTGCCTTCGCTCCATACTGAAGATCAGATGAACGGTCGGAAAGAATTGACAACAAGAAACTCTGGCAACAAATCGACCAAGAGCAGATCCCTCAATAAATATGCAGAAGAAAGTGGAGATGGATAGGGCACACACTGAGGAGGCCGTCGAATAACATCCCACTCCAGGCTATCGCTCGAGTGGAATCTCAATGGAAGGTGAGAAGGTTGTCCGAAGATGACATGGAGGAGATTGTGTGGAGAGGAGGAGATGAGAGATTGTAGGCAGTCATGGACCCATCTGAAGAGGACAGCAGCAAACAGAACAAAGCGGATGTGTTGTTGAAGCCCTATAGTCCACTCTGAACCCAAGGGAATAATAATGATAATAGTTACATGAATGACGTTAAAAAAATGCATACACAAATACAGTAAGTCTCTCCAAGTTTCCGAAATACTAAACTGAATTTTAAACATAGGTTTCCAAACAACAAAAATAAAGACGATCATTTTCCCTGACAATTTTCCCCACATTTAAAACTCCAAGTCAAAAAAGCGTATTAGCAGCCATTTCTGAAAGGATGTCACATAAAAGTAAGGACTTAAAAAACGCAAATAGTTGCTCTACAGACGAAGACTTACTCGAGACTTATGTCCTGAAGTTCTCCTCCTGAAGGGGGATTGACAACGTGCCCATCAAAAGTAAAACCTGTTAATTAAATATTTCGGCACTAGTTGAGACGAACAAACCTGCAACTGTGGCAACTTGGCGGCCATAAAATTCCAATGGTCCACTTAACGTACTAGACCGGCATACATACTAAAGGTAAGATAAATACGAAATTAAGAAAAATTCAATATGCGTAAATTATGGTCACAATTTTCAGGATTTTCTTCTACATTCAAATATTTGTAAAGTTTAACAGTACATTATAACGTAGTTGTAACAAACAATTTCAATACAAATGGCATCCGATCAATCAAAAACGAGTCCTTTCAGTTAGCAGTTATCGTAAACACATTTTACGAAACAAAGCTCAAGAACTATGTCTATTAGGTTGCTCACAGAGTCTGCTTTTCTACGTTATTAAACAGTCTCTCTGACAGCATGTAGAAAGCAAGCATAGAAAGCATTCAGTAAGCAACAATAGCAATATCAGTTACACGAACAGAGAGGTAGAATAAAAACACGTTTTTATACACCATACTGATGTTTCAACAGCAGCTTAAAATGAACGAGTTAAGGACTACCCACTGCATCGGTAAAAAGCCTACTCTATTTTTAAAATTAAGCAGGCACTTAACAACAGTTAAGATACAAAAGGCTGTGCATGGAAGTGTCCGGGAAAAACGTACATAGATCTGACCCGTATGGGATTCATTTTATAATGCAAAATTACAAATGCTAGACTTCACATCTGAAATATGCGGATTCCTTATGGGAATTGTAGTAGGATGAAGAAAAAAACTTTGGCAGGACTGCAAAACGCCTAAAACAGTCACATTCATTTACACTACAGAGAATTTCGCACAACGGGATCATCTGATACATTTTTGCGCCGGGTAGTTAAATCCCTTGAGACTGGGATGAAAATGAAAAAAAAATCCACTTAATTGCAACATATATTAGTTGTCTATTAGCGACTAGGTCCAGACTTTATAGTTGAAAGTAGAGGGCTTTGAAACTGTGATAATGGTCCTTTAATAAGTATCTATGTTTATCTGATCGCTTCTTGATCAAGTTGACTGAAGGTGCAAAATCCACTTCTTCTGGTAGTTGTTTCCTAGAGTTCATGACTGGTTGAGAAAGCCAATACTCAACACGGACAAAGTTCTTTGTTGGCTTTTGAATCCCACTGCTATGCTCTCTGATATGTAAAATGTTCATACAACAAAGACTGCTTATTGTTCACTCATACATGCCAATTCACTTTAGGAATTTGGTGTTGTAACCGAATCCGGAAAAACTTAAAACGGTAGCACTATAAAAGAAGTATGTCACCAATTTAGGACTAATAAACGCTGAAGTGAAAATGATCTGGATGTGATAGCAAATAAGAACTACTTCAACATAAGTTTAACAAACCTTTTGTTGGAATGAAAACGAAGGTACCACAAATCGTGTTCGACAGCGAGCGAATTTGGACTGAAGCATGAGCTGGCCTAAGTCTGCCAGTGATCTACTCAAAAATATTATAACCGTAAAAACGCTTACATAGACGAATGCCGAATACGAGGGATTGAAATAAGTGGTGGATAATGTCCGCACAAGTAGCCATCCAAGTTTTCTAAAACCTTAGCAAAGCATAATATTTCGGGGAGCTTACATCAGCAGGACAGTCCTCAAATGAAAGTGCATTGCAAATATCATTTATCCGCTGTGTCTCCTGAAAATTCATAACGTATATACGGTCAAATATTTTTCACCTTCGGATAATATTTCGTCACTTGTTCGTTAAAATCTGCGTCGATCATAAAACCAAGGAGTTCAGTAATATCATCCCCAGTTATGTTCAGCATTCGACATTCGATCATCCGATATCGATCAGCTGACTGTAATTTCAAAACTTGCGCACTATGAGTGACCCACAATATTCATGAAGCTAAACTGTAATCATCATGGAAACTCCAGACAGCACACAGCTGTAAAATAATCCCAACAACCATATGTCCGATAAGGTTCTTAAGGTAAAATACCTTTTATTAGTTCTGCATTATTGAGTGTTACATCAAATAAACTAATTTTCAATGTCGTTTGCATGAGTTGTGCCAACCAATTTTATGTTTTTGTGCTCGCTTCTTGATTTTGAGGTAAGGGCTCCAGATCCATCGTAAAATTCTGCGTAGTTCGCCCCGCCACTAGACTATCGAAGCTCTGGTTGACTCCCAAAGGAGTGGTGCTGGGATTACATGTTATTTGTAGGAGGCGGTATGTTAAGACTTTGTTGCTACTGTGAATGGAGTTGGTCCTTTCACCAATTAGTCCTCGTGTCCTTGTGTCGCTGCATGATTGTTCAGCCTTCGTTTAATGCTGTCCATAGACGGCGCCAAAGCTACATCTGAGGGTGAGAAGTTCCTGGGACAACAAACTTGGAGGGAAGATAAATGGGAGTGCACTCGAGTATTTGCCCTCTGGTGAGTTATCCTTCTGGGATTTCCATGAGGAAGACTATACCTACTCAATGGCAGAACACCTTTGTTTGGGTGATTCTGGTCATTTGTAATCCAATAGGCAGTAAATAAGTTCACCCTAGGCTGATAGTAGATAAGTGTGAAGGTACCCAATTTCTGTATCCGTTCAACATGCGGTTTGTTTCGAAGAACCATCACTCCTTTTGTCGCCCGTCTTTGGACTTTTTCCAAAAGGTCTCTTCTTACCAGTGGGGTTCAGTGATATTGTGCACTTCAAGGTGTGGTCTGACGTATGTTTTGTACAAACTCATAAAGAGCTCAAGAGTGATTGCGCCTAACTTTCTATGTGAGAAGTGTATGACCGCAAATGCCCTCGCTACATTGTCAGCGTAATTTACGCTTGTGTCCATTTTGTCCGTTGGGACTAGATTCAAGTCACGCTCTGACGTTGTGCAGGACAAGCTTTCGTTGCACAGAATGTAACTAACATTTCACTACTCTGCACTTTTTCAGGTTGAAAGTTATACCACTGGTTACCGCCCAGTCTTCCAGAGGCTTTATATCTGCCTGCAGTCTATCTGAGTCCTCCGGACACTTTATCGCCCTCCATATCTTCATGTCGTCAGCGTATAGAAGAGTCGGGCAGCTTAGACGGCATGGTAGATCATTGATAAAAATCAAGAACATCAGTGGTCCCAGGATAGAACACTGCGACACTCCTGATGACGAGCTGTGCCAAAATGATCGGACTCGATTGACCTTGGTGCAAAATTGCCTTTCAGTTAGGTAGTCCTTCTACCATGACATAAGCGGCCCGCCTGCACCTGCCTGACTTATTTTGTCTAGAAGGTCATGGTGAACTGCATCAAACGCCTTCTCAAAGTCTAGGAAGACCATATGGATTGGAATATTCATATCCTACGATGATGTCCAGTCGTCCCAAGCCGATAGTAGGTATGTGACGCAGGATCTGTATCTCCTGAAACCCTGTTGTGCTTTATGGAGTCTGTTAATCCCGTCAAGGTGCTCCCTGATGTGATCATCAATAATACTTTCTAGTACTTTTGATACCAGTGGGATTAGCGCTACTGGTATATAACTGGTGACATTCTACCTGTCCCCATCCTTGAAAATTGGAGAAAGGATGGCTATCTTCAAATCTCTTGGCAGTTTCCCTGAATACATCGAGTGTTGTAGCAAGTCAGATAAGGGCATGGAGAGCTTTGGAGCACTGTTTCAGAACAGATGGCCTGATGCCATTACAACCTAAGGACTTTTCAGATGTGGGCCTCTGTAGCTTCCCTATTACTATTGCCGGGTTTATTTGGAGGATAGCCACTAGGATTCCCCCTGATGAAGTAGTAGTGCCGCCATTTTGGCTCGTACCAGTAATAGCCACACTTCTCTTCAAATGTTTGGCGAAGGCCTAACTGAATGTTTTAGAATTCCCCAGACTAGTAAGGTATTGACTGTTTGGACATACTAAGGTGCATGACTCTTAGTTGGCTGCTTTTCTACCCGGAAGAATCGGTGCAGGCATTGGGGTTCCGCCAGTAGATTTTTGGCAAGATGAGCCTGAAATGACCTCCTGACTCTCACGTTGCACAGGTTCCTGAGTTCTAGGTGTGCATCGTGGTCGGTTTGACCCCTGGGTGTCTTCCGCTTTGCTTGAGGAATACGATGCGTACCTCTTTTCCTTACGGTCTCTGCCAAGTTTTGTGGTGTTGTTATCAGGATGAGCGCTGAATGAGACTGTCTAGATGGAAAAGTGGTATGCTATTTCTGCTATCCGGAGACACTCTGTGTGAGACTGTTCGAGGCGACAGAGAGGGCAAATGTACCAGAACCACCTGCATGGATTAGTTCGTATAAACTCATGATATAGTTTCGACATCCTTTTGTCACAACCGCAGTGTACCCATCGTTTGCGAAAATTGCATTCAGATCCTGAGACAGTTTCAGAAACGACAACACTACAAGCCTGGCACTCATCTCCTTTTCTAGAAGACACTTTCGAGGTCTTGTGACGTCTCGGAAGTTTCTTTTTTGTTTTGCTGTGTGTCACACACTGGCTTCTGGCGATACATATGCAGTATCATGTTCAATCGGTTTCGCCTGTGCTGTTTCAGTGCTAGACTGTGGCAATATAGGCATAGTATCAGAAAAGGGGAGATGTACACAGGTCTTTAGAACCGGAATGAGAAAAGGGGCTAATATCCCTGGGTTATTGCCTCCTCTGGCTGACGCCCCTGTGACCACAAAATATGATATTTTAATTCTTTCTTTAAGGCTACTTTCACCCGCCATATTAACAATTATATGGGGATAAGAGATAGCAACAGTGTCCATCCAATAAAACAAGAACAAAAAGATTGATTAACTTCAAGCTAAGAAAAATAAAGGGTTTTCGACTTTACCTAGCGCATTTCGGTTACTCGGCGTAGCAGAAATCACGTCACAGACCAGCAAGTCTTGTTTATCTGAACGAGTAGGGAAGATGCGGCTGCAGATGTAGCACCTGAAGCTTTGGCTGTAGTTCTAGGCGGCTGGGTAAAAACTGTGTTTCTCATCGACGTGACATTTTATGCTCCTTATTACACACATATCCACTTCAGAGTACGAAATCCAAAAGGCGGACTCCAGCAAGCTTACTTTTGTCTTCATCCATGGTGGGTAATTATCCCATCTCTTAGGAATGTTCTAGTAAACATACTGTTGGGCAACATCGATGTATGGTTATCATCGGAAACACCATTCAGTTTTCTTATGTTTCCCCAGGTTTTGATCCAGTCTTCTGGTAAAACTGTCGATATGATGAACCTTCTGTCAATTTTCCAAACATATGGCCGAAATGAAGGTGACTTGAAAAAAGTTAGATTTTCCCAAGGGCGGTGGTTACGGAGAAGACTTCAGACTCTTGCTATCTCCAACCTTTTAGGAGGCATCCTGAGATTTATACATCGCGTCTCTAACACTTGGTACTAGGGGCTGTTATATGTTAGACTTAAGTGGCTAACGACCACAGCGTTTTCCTATAGTGTTGTTGCTAGATTTTCTCTGTAGAATGATTGGTAGTTGAAATCACTGGCTTCTTCCAAATTAACTAAAGTCAAGCGAGGGACTCAAATTTAGTTTCATATTGTACAGGTGACTTCGCTCAACTTGTAACCAGTCAATTTTCAGGTACGTACTACATTCATGCACAGTTGAAAGCTATTTCAGAAAGAGGAAAAACATCCTGGGAATCAGCAGTACTTGCTGTAAGTCGAATCACAGTGGTATCTAATCGTCGTGAAGAAGTAGAGCGACAGTTAATCATTGTAATATTTGTGATTGGTGAGCTTCTGCGTAACATGCGTTGGGGCAGGAAACAGTTGACTCCATGCACTCAGTTAGTACTATTTCGAAGTTGATGACAGACTTTGATGACGACCTTTGTATCCAAAAGTGAATTAGCACTGTGATGATTCTTGGTGTTCAAATGTTTGCGCCACCCCTCTTCTCGGTTCTCTATTTTGCTCTGAAGAAAACAGACTGTCCATTCTTTCTATTTGGTGCCACTGCATGTAAAGGGAGTGTGAGTATTCAGTATCTTCTTTCCTTATGGTTCAGTGTCATCTCTATCAGCAGCAGGTATTCAAGCTAACCATGATTTCAACTTCGAATTACCAGAGATCGCAGTGACTGGTTGCTCCGGGCAGCTAACTTTCTAGTAAGTAAATATGCTGCTCGATCAACTAGACTACGGTTGCTATCGTTACGAATCTAATTTAGACTCTCTGCCTTTGCTTTATTCCTCAGTAAATAAACGCGTAGCTTTATTCACCAAACCTCCAAACGATGTGTAGAATTGTGATGCAGGTATGATTGCGAATGAAGTGAGTATCTGGAAGTTGGTATTTTCAATACGTGGCCTAGATATCTTTTAAAATGAGGGGCAGAAAACACCAATTTATTTTATTCGGGTCATATCTCTTTTGGGGTTGTAGGGCTTTTAACCGTCATTCACCTGTTGAAAAGGTCCATGTAAGGCTCTGTGTCCGGTAGTAGTGTATGTTAGTCAATTTTAAGTCAGTTCTTGGGTTGTTGTTGGCTTTTTTAATGGGGTTAGCAGTACGTTATTTGCCAGCCTTTTCCCAACAACGTACACAGATCATTAAATTTTCAATGCTGATTTTGTCAGATTTACTGATGGCAACAATCATTTATTTCTTTGCATGTTTTAACATGTAGTATATGACTCCACCTGTATGTACAACATTGGCTTGTTATTTCTAATTAGTTTCAATTTCTGGAACATTTGCGAAAGGCGAGTCACATTTTCCATTTGAACTACAATTAAGAACATTCCTAAAAAATGACACTTTACAGTCAGATACATTCCATTCACAGGGACTAATCACTATTCTATATTTACCCAGATTATTGCATTTTGCCATTTAGGATCTAAATTTGGACCAAACATGTTGCAAAATTTTCAGATTCATCTTCTTTACGGTAACTGAAGGGAAGTTTACCCTTAAAATTGCGGGATGCATCAATGATTATTTTTCATTACAACGGAACCAGAGGTAGTGAAATTTTTTGGTAATGCGGATTCGTGTACTTACGTCAGCCCTTAGTTCAAGTCTGAAGAAAATGAAGACGTAGTAGCGGATTTACATATGCAGCCTGTCTCGTAGAACTGATAAGTCATAGAAATATCGCTTATATTGTTCCAGATATCATACATATACCGGATACTCCCAGGGTATCGGCTATAAATTTTCTAGGATACGGAAGATGCTTCCAGGCAAAACTTTGACAAAGATTCACCATACATAGGAATTTGTGTCAACTATTTTCATGGTGAAATTATCCGAGAAGTATGTTATCGATATTGCCTGAAATATCCTGACTTTTGTTGACCTCACCTAGTGAGAATGTTGATGGCCATTGTGTGTCCACCTGGACTGATGGATTGAAGTGAAATACCACACAACTGGTTGTTTCTCCAGTGTAGTGTAACCTTATTGGTTGCTCTTAAAATCGCTCAGTTAATGATGGGAAAATATCTCACCTGGGCCTACTAAATGATGTATCTAGAGTAAAGGTATTCCCCACACTGCTCTTCTTTAGAATTGTGGTTGTCGTTAATGTCACCTTACTTTTGACTCCAGCAGCAGGCCTGAACAAAATGATTGTCGGAGACTCCGTGTGAAGCTAATCTAGATCCACATATCTCTTCGACTAAAAGTGTGTGTCTCTATAGAGAGACGACAATGTGTAAGGACTAGATGTTCAGTGCTGGCTGAGCCGTGGCCAACTCTCGAAGATCTTTCAAACCTGGATGGGTGATAGGGATAAAATATACACGGACCGAAAAATAATATGTGATTCACTCATGAATTTCCGAGTGGAAGAACAACACATGAAGCGACTGGACATTAGCATTGGGTTATTATTATTAACATTGGGTTCTGATCGCTAGTTTAGGTTGTGGAACATTTTCGTCCAGATTTATGCCAACAACTAAAGATGAGATCATCTTCGAGCTATTTTTGAAATTCACTGGCAAAGTTTTCTCCTGCACAGGATTTAATCCCCTTCTAATGCAAATCTGCAACGACGCTGTCCATAAAACCACACAAATATATGGATGAACTGGAATCAACACATAATCATACCACAAATTCGAGAATAAGGTGCAAGGAATTACACGGAAAAAGTGTGCGGAAGAATTGATTCCTGGCATCATTTCCTCCAGATATTTGTAAATATCCACAGTCTTTTGTTAATGCGAAGACAATAACTCTACATTTCTCAATATACTTAGCCTGGGATGGCCGAGTAGTTAAGTAGGTGGACTTAAGATCCCTTGAGGTGTATCCCTGCGTAGATTCGAACCCTTCTACCAGCAGGCGGCTTGTGTGAATTGGTGGCCTAGTGGTGGAATGGTGGCCGACCACGCATGTGGTTCGGGGTTCGATTCCCGTCAAACGCACTCCCTTACTTAGCTGAACCAGTAGTGAGAATGGTATATATAGGGGGTTGGGAATGAGGCTAGCAACTCCATCCCGTAAAAATAAACACCATTGATAAGGAAACTTGAAGCCTCTACCTTGGAGCCTTATGTTCCACTAAGAAACGTAAAGGAATAAAAAAAATGAATTTGTTAGAAGACCGTTCCAAAAGATTCTAATGCTGAAATGGACAGAAGCAGTGATGAAACCGCCATAAACCGAATTCACGTAATTGAAATACAAAATCTACACAAACCTTTGCAATGTGTATATGCTTTCACGGGCGTGAAAAATTGCTTTATTATTATTCAGAATACGTATGCTGTCCATAGATTACTCAAGGACTCTCGAAACATCATACACGACATGCTGTTCCTCGAAGTCCCTAATATTTGTAGATGACAAATACTTGCTGGAAAAGGTGTTTTATTTAAAATCCCCTGTTTGACATAGTCAAATATTCTGTTCATGAACGGTTTCGCAGAGACCTTGTTTCATCTATTTTTGTATGTAATGGCAAATAGGTCTCACCTTTTACTTTCATAATGTGATCCCACGAAGCGCCGACTTTACAAGTTGCACCACACTTATGTCTCTTCAAGATACTTCATCCTTACAATCGTCTTTTAATGTACACGCTGATTTTAATGGTTTTTGCACTTTAGTTTTTATCCTTTTATTTTTTTCCCTTTCTATATATTTCACAGGTGATGAGATAAGTGAAAGTCTTAGATGGTCAGTAAACTGAAGTCCCTGAAATACGTGGGAAATATTCTCGTTTTGAAAGAAAAGTCCGTAATTCATATATAGGTTTGAATAATTGTATTAAGTGTATATTGGACGTTTGAACGAGCGGGAACAGTTAGTGAGGGTGATTTGGATTAAGTCGTTACGTAAGTCGCACATGTTTCTAGTTTGCTAGTTGTCTTTATGTTTATGTGTTAAAAAAGTGTTATGCACTCGTTATTAAACAGGCGCATCAAGGTTTGTGAGTCATGTGTATTTTAAGTTGTCATTTTATAATGTACCTTTATAGTAATCGGCGTTCTGTTGAATTATGGACAAATATACAGAATAACACCGAGCCTAACTACCAACGAAGTAGCTTTGAACAAACTATTAAATCGTCTCCTTGGAACAGACATTTGTTATGTATACAGGTGTATTTGGCGCCAATAAACGTAATCACAACAGTTAGGAGTGGTTAAGGGTCCTATATGTGAAAAAATGTCTCCTGACTCCTCATAGGAGTGGTTAGTAGTGAATTTTAAACTACGTTTCTCTATAAATGACTGTATATCATATTCCTTCATTTTCTAAATATGCACGAAATTCTGTGACATTTGTGTTTTGCAGATACCTGGACTAACCAAAATAGGGAGCAAAACTATTGAAACCAGTATAAACTTAGAACTTTGCTAGCTTACCAAATCGTCTTCAGTGCTTCCAAGGCCTTCATCAACTGGTCTGCTTGAAAGTTGCATTCTTTTAATAATACGCGCGTAGACTTTTAAGAGTGTGTTCTGTGTTAATACCTTAACTTTGTCTTTAGATTATAGGATGCTTTCAGTGCTCCTAAAGTCCATGATAAAATGCTAAATGTCTGAATTCCGTTTAAGTGCCGTTTTGCAGTACAAATGGTTTCTAGGCGAAACTGCTTGGATTATTTCAAGACATTGCGCTGAATAGGAAGGTGTTGATTATTCTGGAAATTTTAGAGTGCTGAATGCCATGAATCACTATGCTAACCTAATATCACCCATGTCATATATTGGTAAGCATAACTCTGTTTCAAGTGAATCTCATAAAAACCACACGAGTCATTTCATTCGATTACTTCGTGTACTTCACATGTTTTTAAAACTGGTGGCTGTTGATTGTCTGATTGACATTCTGTAATGGGCTCAATGTGCGATAATCCTTCCTGGTCTTCACTGTCTCCTAGTGTATGGATAGAGTGAAATGGTCGAGTTTTGGGAGGTTGAGTCAGCTGTAGGAGAATGATTAATGATGGAATCTCAATGCCTATAAGCATATTAGATATTTACTAGCTTGTGGACTTTTTAGGTCTGCCAACCAATAAGCCTATATAGCATTCAGTGTTCTGCTTACGTCTAAGGCTTGGCTATAGAAGTTCGAGATTTAAAAAGATTTTCAGTTTTTGATTTTTGTTGTTTTAGGCAGAGTAACGTGTTAACTCTCAGTTAGGTTAGGCTTAGTTTTAAGTGGCTGTTAACGTGTATAGAGCTGTGGCTTAATGGTGTAGGCACTTGACTTGCAACCACTGCTTTAGGGTTCGGATGCAACAATTGGTTGTTGGTTAATAACTGCATTTCTAGTCGGTGCAGATGTATTCTGTCCTTATCCAGATTCTGAACATTGTCATTCACCTTCATCTAATTATTCTCGTCCCTGAATATTTTCCACTACATTTTTTTCCTTGAATAAAGCAAGAAGAACATGTTGAGCAAACTAACATGATAATGCTAGATGCGTACAACCATGAACAACTTAATACCAATCTGCAGAGTACTCAAATACTTGTTATTAATTATAAAGGTGATGGATATATTTTTTGAATCGAATATGAAGGAAGACTGAATTATTTTCAACTGTATGAAATGTTGCTTCTATATTGTATTTATCACTGAATTTTTCAGGATATCGATTATTCATTAGCCACTTTTCAGTGATAGTGAGCTTATCGTCAAGTTTTTCCCTTGAACAAAGCTTTTTATTGTGGTAAAACAATTTCCTCATCAGACTTCGTATGTTTTTCGACAAAGCTTTTGAAATTCTCATACAGCTCCATAACTAAAATATTTGAATCTTTGGTATATTGATATTAAGTTCTTCGTGGTTGTACTCACCTGACAAAGACCAACGGAATACAACTAGGTCATTTTTTTCCTGCACAATATGTTTTTCTTGTTTTAGTCAACTTGATCGAACAAAACAATTGTATGATATTTAATTTCTATACTTTTATGTGCACTCCTTCGGAAGTATGCTGATTCGCACTAATAAACTTTTATAAAAGGTCCTACTTTGCCTAGTAAAACAGTAGTTTATTCTCAAATAGTTTCATTGATAGTGTTTTGGAGTTGTAATCCGATGTCGTATTCAAGGTTCAGGTGTATTCTTTCAGTCATCTCATGCAAGATACGAAGAACTGATGGGTGAACCGTTAGTTCGTGACATTGAAACAAATACTCAGTCAATAATCTCATCAGCTGTAGATTTTGTCAGTCACACAGGTCAAAGCTGTGGGGTAGCAATAATGCTTTTCTATTCGTTTATCTTGCATGAAGTTCATCAGTCGTGCTGGAGAAAATGCGAGAAATGGGTGAACATACATGCAGTGACAGTGATTAGAGAAAAATAACGATTTCCGAACCTTCCAAAGCCTCAATAGCGTTGCATTTGTCCCATGTATTTGCAAAGTATGACTTTCTTAAGTGTTGATTATCACCTTATTCGTATCGAATTCATTTCTCCCATTAACTTCAATTCAATTTAAAGCAAGATTTCTGGTGACCATCAACCGTGTCTGCTTAACTTACTGTTGTAATTAGGTATAACCCTCACATTTAATTTTTGATTGTAATCTTTCAACTAATCATTTCTTTCAATAACTAGTGTCCTGACTAGGTAGTCAGTCTTTTCTATCATGTTTACCTAGGTTATTTCACTCTTGTATAGCAGTATTTGCAGCAGTTCTGATTTCTCTGTTGAAAGTGAAGAAAAAATACCAATTGCCGGGCCATGTATTTTCACTGCTACGCAATCACCGTACTTTATTCTAGCAAACAGAAACGTAGGTGCTATTAGAAACCTAAAACCGGATTATTACTAACTTATTCAGTGAATTCCATTCGTTGAATACTACAAACAAATTAGTTGTCATGTTTCACACTTTCGCAGTTTGTAAATAACTGTCTTCTTTTTACGCTCGAAAGTCTCATTTATACTTTTGTCTCCTTGTTCACCATAATTTCTGTCAATGTTAAAAATGTTTATTTGTTAAGCGAAAAACTGACTAGGTAGTGAGATACCAATCTTTTACATTTGATCGTTATGTATCGCTGTATAGTGATATTCAAGTCTTTCAGTATCGAAATAAAATCGATGATATGCACTCAAATAGTAAAATAGTAAGTAATTAACTAGTAACACTAAGAGTTATGTTCGTGACTATGGTAGTTTAAGTGTTTGTTGTATAGACTGTAAATACCTGCTCCACTAAGTGAGTGTGTATGGAGTACGGAGTACTTTATTTTCGGACCCACCAATTAACTGTGAGAAATAGTGTTCATAGTATCTGGAAACATTATTTCTGGAATTTTCCAACTTATTTCTTTATTCTGTCGACTTTTTGACCTAGTACAGTGTCGATCTACAAAAGTGATATTAATTTCATAGAGCTCTCATTTACCTGGACTTTGTCAACGAATACAGTAGATTGTGATACAAACCATGAACTATTTAACTTCCGCATAGCCTGAGATTTTTCGGGTTGACATCATTTTGATTAAATCGCAACAAGTCTCATTGATTCGAACTGAACTCTATTTACTGAAGTCTTTTCAGTTGGTAGCGTTGCTGCTGACTAACCAGTTTATCAATGTAGAATTGTACAGAACTGCATTAGTTCAAGCTGGACGCTGGTAATTATGCCACAGTATAAATCCGAAATCCCGTAGTTTCAGTTAGTGAGACTTGTCGGATATGACGTAAGGTCCGGACTTTGAAAGCACCAATATCAAATCCGTAGCGTGCTTTTAAGGAACTATGGATGGTGTTTCTATGGCTTAAGTCAATATGAGCGGTCATAATGTGAAAAAAACTGTCTGGGGAATGGTTTTAGCAGTAGAAGTAAATTAGTGATGTGGGTGGGCGATAAACAGTAAATTTTGATTGCATATGAAAGCGTGTGGGCAGTTGATTTTCTAAACCATCCGAAAGTTAGAAAGCATTAATGTTTTATGACTGTTGATTCCAGTGGACGACTGCTTGAGACCATTCACAGACTATTTGGGAGTGGGCTTTGCATTATTTCGCTTATAGAGGAGACAACCGTCGACTGCAGTCTGATTGAACGAATAACCATTCTAGAACTTTTCACAGAAATGCAGCTATTCAAGTCGCCAGCCTTAATGAAAGTACCGATTACAGTGAAGAAAAAATACAGTTAATTAAACTATAGTAATACAGGATGAGTAATTAAATGAATAGTAAAAATTCAATGGATCTAGAGGACCAAACCGAGTGAAAACATCTGCGCCATCGAGGGTGATTTAGAGCGAAGTCGCCAACAAATCCCCTGCTGTGAACTGTATTAGAGTAGGCTGGGACGTGGATTTTTTTCCAACCTGCCCTCAGTGGGGATCTGGCAGTCGGTTTTTAGTCAACGCGTCACTAGTGCCAGTCCCACCACTTCAGCCTGGAAAACTGGTTGGTATCAATAGCCCTTTCACAGTAAGTCTGGTACATGAAACATATGTTCTAGGTAGTTGATTTCAAACAGTTGGTTCACAGAGTGGTGGGGTGGCATAGCTGGATTACTGGTTGCCTAAAAGAAACACAGTAATGACATTGCACTCTTCCTGGTTAGCAATATGACTTCACCCTCACACCCCCACTACGCAGTTGGGAATACCCTATAATTATAATTGTTCTCGTTTTAACCGCCTCCTAACTGACTTTTCTGGAACGGTACGACTTTGAAGAACATTCGTTCCAACAAGTTTAGTTCATTGATTTACTGTGGTTTGAACGCAATAACTGTCGTTTGGGTAGGTGCAAACTAAGATTAATAAAGTAAGTAACTGTTCATATCTGTTGGTTTTCGATGGTCGCCAATTATATCCAATGCTTAAATGAAGTTTGGTAAGTTATTACAAAAAATAACTGTAAGCTAGTAGTCAGCTTTGAATTATTATTTACTCTCTTTCTGTTTCAGATATTCCTCAATTGACCGATCTACCTGCTCACAACTGAGATTACCAAGAAGAAAATCACTACTTTCAGAGTCGGTTTTAACTTTGTATGATGCAGGAAGCTGAATTGTCTTTTATACCATATAACACCTCACACGTGTATGTTTATTTGGTTTGAAGTTATCGAATTGTATCAGTTAAAGTGATTTCTAGTTTTGTTACATTTTGTTAGTAAGCTGTCTGAAAATCAATAGTATCACAAACATTTCAGTATATTATCCTTGTGATTTTACCAGTAAATTAAAAAAAATAATAAGACTGTGGTCGTTGGTCAGTATTTTTCATTAAAGGATGAGCATGAAAATACACCACATCGCTCATCAGCCATGTTTGCGTACCGATGAAGAGTCACAAATTACGGAGGAACATCTCTCCAGTACTCGCTGGTTTTCAATGGTTCTCTAACTTACATCACTTCGTGATATAGTATGTAAGTGTTTAAGTTGTTTTAGGTTATTTGGTAACTGATAAAATATGAACGGAAAAGGTATACATAACCGTAGAGACAACGCAGAGTGGTGTAGTGCATGTAAAAAATCTCTCTAAGTTTACAAGTGAAACAATGCCAAAAATGCCAGGCAGATAAAATATAGGTAGCAGTGATATTCATATAAGTGAGTTACTTGGAAAATGAAAAGCTCAGATGATGATAAAAAGACGCAGAAAAGGCATATATGCAACTTTCTTGTGACAGTTAATACCTAAATACATCACCTAGGGGTTTCATTCAATTTCTTCTAGCAATTTGTAGTAGGAAGCGTGTAGTTTTTTGAACAGGTCAGAATAACAATCACAACTTTCATTGATCTTTTCTGTTTTTTTTTGGTTTGTTTTATACTTTTATTATATATATATATATATATATATATATATATATATATATCTATATGAACACGTTACGAGACCAAATAAGATGGAATAAGTAGACATGACTGATAAATAACCCGTAAAAGAAAAAATATTGAACGGAATATGAACTTTCTATCGTCTACCCGTCTATCTTTGAAAAAAGATAGCATCAATACATATCTGCAAACAAGTGGAATTATTTCCCAAAGCTTTCGATCAAAAAACTTCTTGTTTCCTTATCTCACAGGTGGAATGGAAGCAACTGTTCAAGCGTATTAGGTTACTACGTTTGTGCAACTATAGCATAGCAGTTGAACTGCTGATAGTGGTCAAAATAATCTTACTCTTATGACGTTGAAGTGAAAACTGTTAGCTTTATTTCTTTAAGCAAATAATTTCAAGTGCTAAACAATTCATTACAAATTGAACTTGATGTGTTCATTTCTGTAGTTTTAAGTTCCAGCACCTCGATTTAAAAATAATACACTTTTATGATTTAGATGGAAGCCACCGATCAAACTGTCAGACTGCTCATCCGAATTTCTCCAGTCGTCTTCTGTAGACTATAGCATCTTAGAAAATCCATTTTCTTCTAAATCAGAACCTTATGATCCCAAGCTAGAAGCAAAATTATGGCAAGGATTGGGTATACTCAAGACTGATACTGTTGAAAATGAAAATGAAAAACCTGCTAGTGAGGTCAGTTTATTAAATGTCAGTGTTTATAAGTATTTGATTCACTATTTTTGTACACTGATGGGCGATGTTAACTAACATCACGTCACGCTGGGAAAGAGCTAGTGGTGGTCAAACCGAAACATGACATCAGTCAACGAAATCCATAACAGTGACCTTAAGCCATATGCAGAGGTGTGGATTTTTGGTTTGGAGTCTTTGGGACGGTAAGAACCAATGGCTGGAGACAGTTGGCGATATGGCTCAAAGTTGTTCTCAATGACTGATGCAGATGCATTCACTCTTTGTGATTTGTCATATCCAATAAAACTATTGATCTTCCATATTACTCTTCCTTTTCTGTCACACTTCTGTTTATTGTTTGTCCTTTGAACCTTCCTTTACTCTCTTCTCTTGCTTTATGTGCTACATGGAGTGTGGTAATTCGAACAGCTGTACATCGGTGCAAAGTTCTATGTTGAAACCAGTCAGTCAGTCATTGTTTTTGTAAACGTCCGTTATCGCTAATTGATAATTACATTTACGATGATGATAAGTCCACAAACAAGATTTGCAACCATATATGTTCAATCATATTGCACACCATCCTAGTGAATTGTGTAGAGAGGCTAAATTTACTGACAGTCGTAGAACAGATAATGACTCACACTTGCTACGGTTATGCATAATAGACAGAGGGATGAAAACTTTGAAGAAGATGTATCCTTTATTATTTTCAAATATAATTAACAATTTTGATATCACTTAACTTCTTCATTTACAATATCATTACTTTTTCGTTTACCTAAAGAATCCCTACTATCTGACGTCGATACCTGGTCTTCACAGTAAACGAGAAGTAAAAAGAATACGTCGGGTGAGTGCATTTAGTCGTGTTTTATAATTGGATATTATATTATAGCTAGCTACGAGTGTTAACTGCGTTTGTCATGGTTGATTAATTTCTATCGATACAGTCTAGGAAGTTTTATTTATTTATTATTTAGAAATTAATCATATTTCATCTTGACATATTTGATATTTTAATGCTGTGGGTTAGTAAAGTAAATTTTATCGTTATTTAAGATCGATAGTTGAACTAATGACTCTCCTTTCAACTGTAAACTACTCATGTAATCAGAAACTGGTAGATTTCATTCTTAATCTACAGCCGTCATCTCTTTTTCAGTTGTCACGTTTATAAGATTCACTGACAGCTCAATAAATTCTCAGCTGAATTTATTGTTCCTTGAGGTTCGAATATTTTAAAAATATGTGACTGGTGAGAAGTAAATTTCATCCATCTGATTTGCTAAGCAAATCTTTGATGAAGCAAGTCTGTCTGCGCTCCCCGCTTTACCTAAAGCAATACCATAATTACATCTATCCAGTTTTAAGTGCATATTGCTGTTTCTTTTAGCGTCATCAGGGTAAAGTGTTCCGAAGGGTGATCACTTGTAGTAATATGCATCTGTATATGATGTCCATCTATTTGTCAGTCTCATGAATTCCGTCTGATGGGTATACGCAGCATTTTACAGAGATTTTCTTATCATTCATCATTCTTCAAATTATGATGCTACCTTTCATCTGTGAGGTGGTAAGTTTCATTGTTTCGGTGGCTTAGACACGTGTAAACCCAATCATATCTGCCTTAATATTGCATTCTTTAACAACCATTTCAAGATTGTATGTGGTCAAAAAAGATGTTTGTAGAGTTTATAGTGAATATAAATAACTCTATTGCAATAATGATTGTAACTGTTTTTCATAATTTAATGGAGTATATAGTACGAAATAGTAACAAGGGAATGTCACTGAAAACCGAATGTGTTTGTTAAAATATCAGCACCACTGCCGAAATTTGATGCAAAAGTACTAATAGAATTGAAACAGTATTGAAAATTTCTCGTGTTGATAAATGTAACTTCACCTAGTCCAAACACTGCAGGATAGTAAACATTCATTGAGTGTTTATCTTTTCCTATGGACCTATTTTGATTCTGTTATAGTCGACAGATATTCACTTCCAGTTGGAAGAAACATTTCCCCAGGATTCATATTGCAGGTGTAATATAAAAATCACATAACACATTTCAAGAATTATGCACAGAGTCTTGTAGTGGACTATAAATATTAACCACATTATACAAGAGTTAGTGCATAATTACTTAAGACTTGGTAGTCAGAAAGGGAATTCAACCTTAGATTCACTGAATGGTAATCCAGCGTTTAAATCAGTAAGACAAAGCAGCGTTGTCATTGCTATAAGTTATTTGTCATTTACAGCATACTTGTTTGATTGAAGTTGTCCCACCAGGTTTTCCTGCATTTTTCAAATGTTAAACAACACTTGAATAAATTATATCTTTTCCATAGGCCGAACGTAAAAGTAAACTGTCAAATTGGTTTGACTTGCCAAAACCTGACGTTACTGAAGAAGATCGTGAAGATTTAGAACTAATTAGACTACGTCGAGCTATTTCTTCGGATACACATGTCAGAAAGGCAGACGGCAAAGCTACTTACTTCCAGGTAAATCATTTAAAAGTTTCCATCAATTAATGTTTATTTCCATACTTTTCTATATTCTTGTTTCGCATAAACTACCTTATGTAGTTGAAGGCAATATTGGAACTGTACCATACGACTTAGTATAAATTAGTATAAAAAGTTAGCAAAAAGTTAATTGATTTCTCACTCGTGTTAGCGTGATATTAGTTCATTGCACTGATTGAGGATGAATATTAGGATGAAAGACACCTTCTGATGACTGGTTTTTACAGGCTGAATTGTAGCATCTCCGTCCCTTTTTCTCAGTGGTTCTCAAAGAAAAAGGTCTTTGTCTTCGTTTGTCACAATTCTACCTCCCAGATGTTAGTAAATGAAGTATATATATACGCTTACTGGTTTGTTCACCTGAGCAGTTTTGTTAACATGGGGGGAATTCGTGACTCTAAGCTTATCGAAATAAAAGCTTTACAACCAAACCATCCGACTCAGAGAACACAACTACTCCAAAATCTTCCACCTGAGCTACACATCTCCGTTACTATCTACATCAAAATGCCTGTACATCGATGTGGATTATGCTATGTGCATGACTGTCTACTGTAATACCATCCAGCAGGTAAATAGTTGATTTAGGATATTATTACTATTCCTTTGTCTCACACCTCTGTTTACTGTCTCTATTATGCATTTCTTCTACTTTCTTCTCTTGCTATATGTGCTACATGGAGTGTGGTGACTTAAACTGCCGCTCATATATGCAAAGTTCTATGTCGAAAATCGACCGACCGACTGATTAAGATATTTCTGTGTGTCTCTGTGTGTGAATTTTATGGTTAATACATCGCTGTCATGTGAAAAAGACAATAAGAATTTCACACTGGTCTATCAGTTGACGCTTCTGTGCAATTTTTACAGTTCATTCGACCGCTAACTGGGCAGTACTGTTGAAGAATATGTATGTGAAGTAGATCAGTTAATGGGACTGTTAATCTTTATCGACTGAAATGGTTATGCTCTGTGTCTATAATTACAAGTAATTGATGAATATCTCACCACACAGGACTATATACACCTGGAGGAGCATCTAAGTTTTCGAAACTTTCTTTGTAATTCATGTTAGTGAGTGTGAATTTTATTATATGGAATGCATGAAGCAAGGGAAATTCAACTGGTATGCCTAACGTGCAACTCTTTCAAATAATTAATTCATCTGTTTCTCTTGTCTACCTTGAATGCATTTTTGTGGATTCATGTTGTTTTTTACCAATTCAAAATTTCTGCTTTTTTTTCTAGAGAGGTGTAGTTGTAGACGATCCAGGCAGTTTCTATGATAGACTACCACGTAAACAAAGAGGAAAAACTCTTGTTGATGAACTTTTAGCTAATGCTGAAATAATGAAGTAAGTCAAACCTTTTCGTTTTGGTAATTTGTTGATTATGGTTGTATGGATTTCTGGGATGAAATTTGTATTTTTTCTGTACTGTGTTATGTATTGTTTACTTCAGTGGGTAACACATTTTCCTGGCCTGCACACCGTTTTATCATTGTACATATAGATGAATACAATAGTCTGTGTCAAGAATGTTAAATTAACATTGTTTAAAACAGTTAGCCGCTTTTATAAATTTGGGTATTTAGTGTTGTTAGAAGACGGAAATCATCTGAAAAATGTGATGTATTTGCGCAATACATTTTGAACAATCTGAAGAATTTGCCATCAGTTGATCTTTCAGTAAACGAGATGGAGGCACTGTCACTTAGTTCCAATTTTTCTTTCCTACTAAACAATATTTCAGACTTGGGAATTGATTCCCAGTTTGAAAATGTGTATGATCAATTGAGTCCTCTAGTTCCTGCCTCGACAAATGATCAAAGCTGTTTGAAAGGTAAATTTTTTGATGTAACACATCAATTCTGTAATTCAAGTCGGGAACAAAAAAGCCCTAAAGGAATCACATAACAGATCTGATATAGTTATCCTGAAACCTGACAAAGGATCTGGTGTGGTTGTAATGGATAAATGTGATTATAAAACAAAAATGTTATCCATTCTTAATGATAAGAGTAAATTCATAGCTGGTATCGGAAAATTGGAAGGGGAAGAAAAATCTCATTTAGTAAAACTTCGTGGCATAGATATTATTGAAGAACAAGATTTTAATTCATTGGAACCTTTAGGGGGGGGTCTAACTTTCCAAACCTTTATGGATTACCCAAGATTCATAAGGTTGGCAATCCATTACGTCCAATTCTATCAATGTGTCACTTTGTACACATAAATTAGCAAAATGGTTAGCTGACATTTTAAGCCCAATACACAATGAATTATCTAAGTTCTCTTTGAAAGATACATTTGAACTTGTTGACTGTCTTGTAGACACGAATATAAAATGTATGAAAATGTATTTTTTTGATGTACAATATCAACTCATGATGAAGTCCTCCAACCAATCATGCAATTGATTAAGACTATTGATATTCTTTGTGACTACACATCTTCTAGTTGTTTTTCATTCCCTTTTCCTTAAACTCATTTGAAGGATTTATTACTATTATGTACTCATAACGTCCATTTCACATTAGAAGGTGAGCTCTTCCGACAGATGGATGGCGTTGCTTTGGGAAGTCTATTAAGACCTTTTTTGGCAGATGTGTATATGTTTATATTGAAAACCTGTCTGCTGATTTAACAACTAAAGTACCTTTCTGCAGGAGATATGTAGATGACATTATTTTGATATGCAGTGATCATGAAGATGCAAGTCGTCTTACTGGGTGGACTTAACTGTGTACAGAATCAGATAAGTCTTTCATGCGAGGAGGAAAATCGCACTCAGCTTGTACATTTTTAGACATATTTCTAAAGCGGAGAGACGATGGTTCAATAAAACTATCAACTTACATAAAGCCTACTTGGACAGGGCAATACTTAAATTTTCACAGCTTCTGTCCACTACATTATAAGAGAGGATCGGCCAAATGTCTATTTAAGAGGATTCAGCGTATTTGAACAGCTGATGTTATAGAGGATGAAAATAAAATACTGATAGGATGCTCTTGTTGAAAACGGATATCCTTTAAAATTTTCAAACCGGTGTAGAAAGATGTTTTCATTAAATTATCTTAAAATGGGGAAGTAAATGGTAGGATTTTGAGAGACTAAACTCGGTTATCCGCCGAACCTATTATGCAGCTCGGTTTATAATTATTGAAACAGCCAAAAATATTCTCCACCACAAACCTCAAAATTGCACAAGTGATTACGTCACCATACTATGTACCAACTTACATGTGTACTTGGGTGGACGCACCAACATAGGGAGGAGTAGTCGCTCTTTGCATGTGAGGTTGGGAGAGCATATTCCGAAATCGTTAGAAGAATGGATGAAATTAGGAAAGTCAGTGGATGCAGGTGGCAGACTACCAACTCCGTCTGTAGCTAAATATCTAATCGATACGAACCACAAGACTGATGTCAAGACGCCTTTTAAGGTTATTTTTAAAACGGTCAAGGGCGCTTACTGAAATACACTGAGGTGACAGTTATTCATAAACTTAAGCCCCCCCCCCCACCTTCAGTGTGTAAAAAAGCATTTTGTTATCTCTCTTAACCTACCTTGATAATCCTTATTTGATCAGATAACCAAACGTAGTGTTAATTATTCTTATTATTCTTAAATCTTTTTTGTCACTGTCTACTCTAATCGGCCTTTATTCTTCATATAAACTGACTAGTGAAGTGTGTGATCAGATTATTCGAAATGTATTGTGCAAATACATCACATTTTTCAAATAATCTCCGTCTTTTAATTACATTATTTATCCATTTTCTCCCTTATGTACCATCGTAATTAAAAATCAATGAAACTATTTAGTCTCCAGCGCTTTAATGTCAGTGTAATTAGCATTACACCAATAGAAAAGCTACAGAAAGCTAGAGTGTGTCACTGATCCTGCTATTAAATCAGTATTGATTCTTGATGCCAATCAAAATTCATTTTTTCCCAGGTGTATAAAAATTTTGAGGATACCTGACCAATCTTTTGTGCATATAGTCCAGTGTACAGTATGCTTTTGATAGCCTCGAAATTCAAGGTGTTTTCAAAGGCTGTATGTAATGCGCGTACGCACAAATAAATTAGGTCTGATTGAATATGCTTTTCAAGTGTGTTTAGCACTTTATTTATTTTAGTATCTGAAAAATTCTTATTAGTATTTCGGTGCTGTTATGATAAATTGCTTTAGAAAGTACACCTCTACACTATTTTTAACCTCAATGAAATACCCATCAGTCTGGTTTACTCCCTCATATATATGTATGTAATTCTGCTGTCATGTACGCAACAGTTGACTAAATTAAAGCGATATTTTAATCCTCGCTGCGTTAAGCACATTCAATGTTTAATTTCGATGTATTCAAGGAATGGGGGTGATAAATTCAAGATAAGTTAGGGCGTGACTGTTTTACTTCAGGTCGTACAACAACAACAACAATAGCTTTATTCTGATTAATATTTATATAATGTACAGAATTTTCAGCGGGGTTTATTCTGTGATATATTTTCTTCGTCCAGGAGCTTCAAATAAAAGACTGATTGACAGCACATTGTGTGACACAGTTCTATCTGACATGAAGTGCAAACTAATCCATAATGATATCTCTTTTTTCTCCGAGAAACAAACGACATTTTGTTGAATGCCAATTATAGGAGAGTTCCAGAGTACATTTTGTGAACCAAAGACATCACTCAGAAACGATCATCTTATGTATTGGGATAAGCTGCCGTTTAGCAGCATAATGCTATTTCACATGTTTTGTAGAAACCTGCAAACCAGCAGGTTTTAGGTGTTTCAAATACCCGCCAGAGTAAACAATATTATTAGAGACTGCATTTTACTAGATTTAAACAAACTAAATAAGAAAAATTATATGCAATAAATTGATGGAAGTTTACAGTAGCCCGAATTTCAAGCAGGCTGCCAATATATTTGTGACCTATTATTATGATACATTGCTACAAAGAGTTTAATGTTTAGCTGTAATTCATTCTTATTTAGAAATTTTTCCACCATACTTACTTCTTACCACTTTTTATGTGTGTGTAATCATGAGACCTAAGGGTCATACCGTATCAGTCTTTTACTATTTACTTCCTCAATATGTGCTGTCTTGAAATTTGGCTGTATTAACTACACACGTTAGTCAGTCAGTCCTGTGTTGTGACAGTTTGTCTGAGAGTTCTATTGTGGTGGTGGGATACGGGTAATGTGTGCCAACGGAATATTATCCTCACATATTCCCATAGTTCAATTCGACATTAGCAACAGAATACGATATATCTATTGGAACATTCTGTTTGTTGCTAGAGTCAGAATATAATTCTCACAGTTCGATGTTGTGTTAACAACAGAATACTATGTATATTTGAACATTCTATTTCATGTAATTTCATGTAAACCAAAATCACATGCTCAATGATTGGTTAGAGAATATAAAACCTGTATCTATGTAAATAGCGGCTTGATCACTTGACAATATACCTTGGCTTCCGTGTCTTACCTTCTGCTGTTACACTATAACTAACGTTCGTCTTTTTTTACAGTAGTGTTCTATAAGTAGCTGCATAAAATATTTTTCCATTATCCGAGAGTTGTTTTGAAGGCGAATTTATTTTAACCTTTTCTATTCCTTTAAAAATGATTTGTTATTGTCATTATTATTATTATTATTATTATTATTATTATTATCCTTTAAACATTGTCTATCTTCCTTTCAATTATCCTTTATCCAGAGTTCACAGGAAACGGTACGCTAAGATTGCACGCTCTATGGCTGAAAAGCGTGCCGCTATTAGGAGGAGAGAGCAACAAAGAATGAAGCGCATGAAAGTTAAGGGTAAGAAGCCACAAGCCACTGTCGTTGTTCCCGAGTAACTTTTTTTAAACAGGATTTCCTATTTGTACATATATCACAAAATAAGATTGTTTCTTTGAAACTCACTTCTTTTTGCTTATTCTTGAAATTTTAAAATGGGAGTCTGTTAGTATTTATTAATATCGATAGCTTGAATTACATTGTTTATGAGTTCAGTGAAGTAACGGTTTAGAGCAGTTATCTTCTTTAATTAAGCGCATCGGCGGTACATGTTTCGCGTTTCCAAACTTGTTGTATTATGAGTTACTGTGATGTTTAAACACGATTGCGTTTCATTGCCACTTTGTTAATAGGATTGATTTTCTATAAGTAACAATTTAAGGTCGCTGTGGTTTCCTCAGATTGCATGTGACCCTATGATACACTCCAAAAGCTGATTAGTATGCTGTAATATGATATATGACTGAGTCGTAATATTTTGTTGTATAAAGCGAAAGTAGGTAAAATGGTGCTATAAAGTGGGTAATATAAAATCAGTGTCAGCGAGACAGTTTGTGAAGCAGATGGTGTGCCAGTTGTCAGTCTTAAAAGGACTCCTGGGACACTGGACAGAGTACTTTGGGAAACGACTTAGTTGGTCTACAAAGCCAGTATTCAATATTTTAGAGCATAATGATCTGTAAACACGAACTCACCTAATGTGGTGGAGTTATAAAAGGAGCTCCAAGTACTGGAACGCCATGATCCATCTGGTCCAGACAATTTACCCTAAGCTATTTTTAAAGATAGTGGTGAAGTTATAGTTAGGGAACTGAATGGATTGCTCAGAAAAGTATGGGAAAATGTGAGTGCTCTGTTGGTGCAGAATGAAAACATTATTGTGTCTGCCTTTGCATTTGACCATCATTATAGTATTGGTCTGTTATCAGTTGCATCAAGATTATTAGCTACTATCATGGTAACTAAACCTTGTAAAACGCGTGAAAATGTTGATTCTTGAAGAGTGGGCTTCGTTTAGTCTAAGTTCTGCAATTTCCATCATCGCTGTCTCCACAGAATGGCTTGCGCCCGGTGTCATCATGGTATAAGTAATTCTGAGGTCCGGAACGGTCTTCCAGTAAATGTTGTTATGTAAATACTCCCACTTCCTTGGCGTGGATGAGTGTTACGAATGCTATCTTGGCCACTCTCATATCGATCACTGTTTGCTAGCATTAGGACGGTGAAGGTAATGATGGCTGAACAGATGTGTTAGATCACCATCCTTTGATGCATCAAAACTCTCTTTGCAGAGACCTGAGAGATCATTTGAATTAAGGGCTCAAGGCATCAGATATGGAAAATAATAGAGAACATAGTACAGTTCCATGTACTCTTCTCTTTCTCAAAACAACAAGAAGCAATGAAGTCTGGTAAATATGTTCTCAGTAAGTATCTTTTTCCCTACGTTTTCTATTTCTTTACATGGCTTTCTGTGGGATATCTCCCCTCCTCATACTGCACAAAGTTAGGGTTCCAAACAAAAATTGAAGTGAAATTGAAACATCTTATACTATCACATAAAAGTGACCCATCTATCTGAAACCTACTACCTTTTCCTGATATGTTTTACAGAATTTGGCATTTCTCATTGTTTTCAAAACTTCGTTTCCAAGGGCATATTTCCGTTCAGTTTCGAGAAAGTCAATAATTTCCCGACTTTCTATGTTATTTCTTGGGAAAAAATGGTTGACAGCTAACAGAGATAAATGTGTTGAATAAGAATAACGAATTGTGGATAAAAAAATATTTCAATGCAATAAGTCTACTAAACTAATTTATTTATAGACGCTTTTCTGGATAAAACATGCTGCAGGTAACAGTATTAGGGACGAATTCTTATTTTCCTTTCTAGAAGCTCAGAAGATTGGTTCATTGAATATTCGGACCGACACTGTCATCATAAAATGTAGGACTACTGTAGAGCGTTCCAAGTTACAGGGTGTCAGATTTGCCTAATAAGTGAGAGGTAACGAGAGAGAAGACTAGTTGGTAATGTGCAGTAATGAAGCAAAAAGTTGTGGAACGTCATAAGACTAGGAAAATATATAAAGTAGGTGGATACCGATATAACACTAAGATTGAGGATTCAGTATGCACGCATCTCAGCCACTGATTCTGAGCGATTTCAATTACGACCTGCATTGTCTGTCGTGTAAAGTTTAGTGTGGTGATCAGTGGTGACAGAGTTCATACATTTGGACCGTATCTTAGACCGATCAGTCTTAATTTCCTACAGAAGTAGATATCATAGGGTTAAACTGTGTATAGGCATAAGTCAAAAATAAGACAGCAATCTCAGTTGCCATGTGTTTATGGTGTTTAAGGAGATGATGGGTGTTGGCGGTTACACTGGATACACTAGATACAAGTACAAGTATATATCCTTCAACTTCCAATGTACTTGTTCTGTTTAGACCAAAGATAAATCAAAACAACAAATTGGTCGTCCAAAACATGAGGTATATTTCGAGATCAGAATCATAGAACGATGACAAATGCCTATTTAGCTTGGGATCGTGCACGAACGTAACACAGTAGCGTGTCGAATGGCGTGGATGCTTGACAGTGTGCCTTCAGTTTAACAAGTCGACTTCAACAGTGAAGGTCAGCACCCAGTATTGAATGAAGAATGCCATAGGCTTAGAGTTTTGGAGAATTATTTACTGCTGCATTTTCATCAACTTTTTCTTCATTCTTTTGCTTTCCTTCCGAACGGAGCGTAGGGCTTAAATTTTTAAGCTTTGGAGTTTCAGTTGCGTTTGCGTTATGTTGCTAACCTCACCCGTAACTTTTCCTCTTTTCTGGGCATACTACCGGCTAGGTGAGGTTTAGGACCGCTTTGGCCAGACCACGTGCGTGGCCAGCAAGCATTCTACCCTTGAACCACTCATCAACTGACCTATCTCTTTTACTTCAGACACTATGTTTACAAAGTGGCTTCGAAGCGGTTCACTAAGCAAACGAAGGAAACAGTAGTTAGGTACCTGAAGCTTTCTCTAAACGTTCTATTTATTGGTCATTTTTCATGGTCATACAGTGGAACGGAATATCACTGCACAGTTTACTCGATTTTTAGTTAGTGGTTTATAATCAGTACATAATAAAAAAGCCGACCGCAGTATCTCGTTTAAGTCGAAGTATGATTATTCTACAACTTGGTTTCCGAAAAGTCAGTAGTCTAAAGCTGGTCATCTCTCAAACATGTAGGACGACTTTTTATTTACTCGTATCATAATATGCAACTTAACCATCACCTGGATTTTAAACTACAAATGTGCCTGTATTCTTGTTCAAAGTAATGGTTTCTAATCTGACTAAATACCATTGTTAATTATTTAAACAATTCATAAGCTTGTGAATTTCTATAATCAGTTAAGTTTCTAATGTAAAATCTTAGTTTATGTCTGACTACTATATCCTTGTTATTCGTATTATTATAATTCCGGTAGGTTCTGACTGAAACATAGGGCTTTGATAGTACATCTCCATTTCATCCATTTCTTCCTAGAACAGTTGTACACGTTTCCTTGAATATCGCCTTCACAGAGTTCTAAAGTTCTTCCACACAGGTTTCCTCAGTGATGTTACGTAATGTCTCTGACTTTGCTCTGATGGCTGCAGTGGTGTCTTTTGTAGTTCTGTCTTTCAGTTTCTTAGTGTTGAAATTGGATTGTAGTCTGTGTGCAGTTGTTTGGATAGCTTTCAACCTGATATTGAAGGTTCCTAGAACTAGATGATGGTCTGAGCGCACATCTACTCCCCTTCACGATTTGGTATCCAGCAGGATGCTTCTCCACTTCCTTGAACAACATTGAAGTGAAGTCTATCTGGTTTGTGGTGTGTCCGTCAGCGAAATCCATGTCGGTTGCCTTGTGTATGTCCTTGTGCTTGTACACGCTGCCTCCGATCATCAAATCATTGAAAGCGCGGAAGTCTGCGATGAGTTCTCCATTGTCATTCACTCCGCCGAGTAAGAGCCTCTCGTCACATGTTGAATTCCCCTTCCTGTATTATCAGCTCCCAGTTCAGCTGGCATTCATCTAGCCCATGAGGATTTTGATGTCACCATTTGGGATGTTGTCGATTACTGTTCGTAGTTATCTATACAAATCTTCCTTCTTGTCTTTTTCTGCATTGTTTGTAGCACTGTGCGTAGCATCGAATAGTTGTTACCTTCCTTCCTGACTTTTGCATTGAATCTTGCTGTCATAATCCTTCAGGAGGAGATAGGTTCCCACTGCACAAAAGCTTTGGCTGCTACTATTGGTGAAATCATGATAGTCAATCCCTCAGTGTACTTGTGGTTGTTGTCTGGGCGATCAGAATAGATTATTGACCCTGCAGGTAATAACTCAGATAGCCCACTTGCATTCCATTTGCTTTTACAGATTCTGGGCGTTTACGGTAGACCCTAAATTTACAACCTGGAGGAATGTCTCTCTAACAGAACACTAGGTTACTGTAAATTTCTTGCAACTTTCTAAACCTTCTATACTTTATTCAAGTGAAAAGTAGGCACAGCAGTCTGTGTCTGACTCTTAGGTATAAGAACAAACAGCACACAAGAATCACTTAAGCCAGTGGTCAGGATGTGCGTGTAAGACAGAATTAACAGCTGCACCTGACTATATACGGAACCTTTGTATTATTCTTTTACCAGTCGCATCCAAAAATATCGGCTGCTGATGCACTTCATGAGACTTGAGATACATTAGTGCTTATCAATTTGAACAGCATTATCTAATTATAACAATACCATTTATTTATAAATTGGTAAAATGGAAGAAAAAACCATTAAAACATTACAGATTCATTCAATTTTATGCTAATTAACATTGGTTGTGAAGTGGAAATCAAATAGTATAGCAAAGTCGATTTAAAAAATAACAACAAATAAATCGAAGACTAAAAAGATATTCTGAAAGTAGTAGAAAGTTGTATAACGTAAAATATTCTTTTATTAGGTGAAATTCAGTTTCATTTGTATGAATTTAAGAGTCAAAAACCTTTCTCTTTTTCTTCATACAAATTTGTAATAACATCTGAAAAATGTTTGCGTAGACTTCCCCTGGCAGGTTTTAAAGTTGGTGTTAGTAGCCCGTTGTTTACCGTGAATGCTTCAGGCGTTAGGAATATATTTTGTACCTGTGTTTCAAGATGAAAAAGTTACAAAAGCAAATTAATTCTTACTTAGTCGCATACTGGCTATTATATATATATAATAGCTGCATTTATCAGGTGGCCCTGCTAGACTAGTGCATACTTCGTACAACCTTCACAGATCTAGCGATAGTGTTGCAAGTGAAGTCATTATAAACGCTGGTGCAAAAGCGTACCATGCAAATTAAAAATTTAGCTATCACATCAGTGCTATAGGCTGTGAGGATTACATTTTATTGTGCAATGATAAGTATTCCACTAGTTTCACTTTTAAAAGTTAAAATTTATTTATGATTAATTTAGTATATGTAAATACAATATGTTGAAACAGCAACAAATTATTCTGGCTAGCGAAATGAACTTTAATAAGGGATTGCATTCTGCGTTAGTTTGTTAATATTGAAGCTACAGTGATAGGCCAGGAATATATTCGTGGAATTTCACTAAAGGATATGATTAGTATATTGCTGAAAAATGTTATAATTACTGCCATTCATAGTAGTTATAGTTAAAGGTTGTGAGAAGGAATTATACAGGTTACGCATAAACTTCAATAATTACACATATGTTGATGCTGAGACCAATGAATCACGCCTCTAATATCAGTTACCATTAGCACCTCTTTATCCACATAAGCGTTGACAGAATGGAGATGGAATTCATAGTCTATCGAAAGTCTACAAGTGGTTTAGATAATGAACAAAACTGACAAGATACTGTGGTGAAATATATGCATCAAAGATAGTAATTTAACATCTGGAAAACTACTTATTACAATTATTTCGAATTAAAAGCTGGTTGATTTCTTTGGACTGAAATGCCGTATCTTTGTTGACATGTAGACTGCTGACACGGACATGATATTACCAATAGATTCTAGGACACTCATGTTTGCCTATTTAGATGGTTGGGAATTAGAGTAGGGGTGCCTAATTTTTATCTTGTTTATTAGTTTTATCTACCTTTTTCAAGACATTTTCATATGTTTGGTGTAGTTTTACCGAAACTTACATCTCCGTGCACGTTCAGGAATTTTATTACCTAGGTGGCCTAGTGGATAACGCTTTGAAACTCTACTTTCCACCTGGAACCCAAAGGAGTAGTAATAATCAATTCTAAAGGATAGCAAAATTTGTTAGCCTACTCACATGATATTTAAAAATACTGAGTGTTGTACTCATATATATTATAACATCTATTTAAGACATAGTGAATGAAAAAGAGATAGTATTAAGTTTAAAGAAAATTAAGCCTCTTTTAGTCAGGCACGAGTTTACGAGGTCAGTAAGCAATTTCGCAAGATGTTTTTAAGATGAATGACAAACGAGAACATCGGATTAATATAGCTGTCTTATTCTGTGGTCACTAAGCACTTAACTGAAATCAGTTTATTCAAAAGATTTGATAACATTTTATGGTGTCTGAATTAATTCACTTGTGTATTATTTTCTAAACGTGAGTTATATTAATTGTGCCGAATGAATTTTATTGGGCTGTTTGTCTTACGTAACTTACTACTTGACATAATTGACTGCACACACTGGTTATGAAAGAAAACTGCAAAAAAGAGAGATATCACAAACGTATACTATCACGTCGGCTCAAGTTACAAAACTACTGACCTACTGGAATTAATAATAAACATGAAGAAGAGCGAAGGAATGGAAGTAATAATAAAAGGCACAAACAGCGAAGAAAATTTTCTTTTCGACGATTCATTTTCATGAGCTGTACAATCGTAATTATAATTAACAAAGAAATCTTTAGACCAATCAGATACTGGTAAATTTTGTCCTTGGAAAATTGTATTACATAGTGTAAGGTGTAAGAAGGGATGACTGATTGTAAGTTAGAAAGGAGACAGAAGTTGGCATGACGTGTCAACTTCTGTGCCTTTGTGCCTTTTTCTTATGACTCAATATGGAAGTAATAATACTGTGAAAGATAAGGAGGTAGTTGGAAAAACTGGAATTAAAGAAACAGTGATGTAAACTAAGTATTCGAATACTTAAGAAATATAAGTTATCAGTGCACATGTTTTATTGAAATCCAAGGAATACTCCTCATCTAACATCTTCAAGCAATGGACTTATTTGTTTTGTGAATTACATTGATGAGGTTCGCCCTTCTATAAATAGTTAAGATAAAGATGTATGTACTTTATGTAGTAATTTATCTTTATTATTGTTCGTCATAATGTATACCCTCCATGCAAACATTCTCTCAATACTATCGAATTTTCCATTTATACTATCCGGACTTATTATTAGTGATATTATCTCTTTTTTCAATATATACCTTCACCTGTTTCGTTTCACACACTCGTTATTTCATTATGAACCTCTCATTGCAGTCTTACTATCTCCTCTTTAATACATACCATTTTGTACTAGGCACTCACCTGACACCTTTTATAACCTTGAACTGACTTGTGAATTTTCTTACCCCACACTCTACAAATCTATTATGATTAATCACCATTGTCTCCCATTTTACAATATTTTGTAATCGATTTCAGCCTAGCACTTTTGTCACACAAATACTACCATTTATTTTGACACCCCATAACTAATCTGTTATTCTACGTAAAAAATGTATCCGCCTCATAACTGGCCATTATTGTAACGACAATAAATATTATATTGTATAATTGTAAGAACCTGAAGAGAAATTATTGAAAAGAATATTCTTCGTTCAGACTGACTTTTAATGTATGATATATCTTTATCCGCATATACTAAAATAACTGAATTTCTCCTTCGGCTGCTGCTGTAATTGTACGTTCAGCTAGTCAGCCATTTGGTTTACGTAACAAAATCAGACTGCGTTCATAGTCTCATCTTTTGTGTACTAATTCGATTATTGACCGGAATTCATCCATTTTGAAGACAATTTTTTAAACTAGTACATTAGAAGGAATCACTTCTATCAACTGAAAATAGGCGTTTGGTTATCCCTTTAACTTCTAAGTGTACACTTACTTAACATAAGCAAATTCAAGCTTTTTTATTCAAGATTTCCTAAATTTAAAACAGTTAGTCCCTTTTATAAATTTTGACAGCATTATTAGAAGACGGAGATTATCTGAAAACAGTTTGTTATTACTCTTAACCTACCTTGGTAATCCTTATTTGATTGGATTACCAAACGTTTGTGTTAATTATTCTTAATTCTTTTTTTTGTCACCTTGTTTAATTTAACTTTTCCATATATATTGACTTGACAAGTAAATGTGTGATCAGATTGTTCGAAATGTATAGCGCTAATACATCACATTTTTCAGATAATCTCCGTCTTCTAATAATGCTATCAAAATTTCCTAAATTTCTTTCAAGTATGGAAAATATTTATGCAATATAAATTTTAAAAAATATTGTCTTCTTATCTATGTCTTTTTAATTTCTTAGACTATAGGAATACAAGTGTCGATGCAACTTCATGGGTAACTGAAGTGACCAGGATGCTTAATTGCAATCCTCCATTATGTCAGATACAAACAAAGCATTCTAAAATAGTGTTCAGAAGAGTTTACCTTGAAATGATGGAAAAGATTTATATCTGTATTGAATGCTTTTATTGCTATATTCTCTCAGCTGTTTGGTTTTGTTGCAAAAGACAGTACAAGCCTCGCGCCAAAGTTATGTAGTTCACAGAACACAACACCAAAAGTCGTTTGCCTTCTTGCCTTCTTGGACCTAGGTTTCGTGCTAGTTGGCAACTAGCGCGAAACCTAGGTCCAAGGCTTCCTGCCGATTGCCTCCAACCACCTAATATTAAGGTTGATTTATTTTAGATTACTATTCAAAGAAACTGATGTACACGAGGTTACTAAAAACATAAAATCATAGGAAAATCTTATGATATCACCGAGATCTGCGAAGGAACCTGCACGTTTCTGTAGTAGAATATAGTTTCATAGTAGAATAATTTTTTATTTATTTATGAATAAGAAGAAGAAGACGGTTGGAGTGAAGAGAATCTTCTTTCCGACGAAGTCATCAGCTAGACTGTACATTCGTGTATTTATAGTAAATGTGTGAGAAAGTGCCAGAACTACTTCCGGTTAAAGGTTAAATTATTGTTGTTTATTACAAAGTGTAATAAACAGGGTGATGGGGCAGACTAGATATAATAAGATCATAATTACTAGAAAACTTGACTGTTTGTGCAATTACGGATTAAAGACGTTGTAATAAAAATATAGGTAGGAAGTTCGGATAAAAAACAAATTTAGTAATGGAGATGGGAATTAAAAAAGGTAAATTTAACAGAAATAAACAGTCAGGTTGGATAAGAAAGGTAATAGGATAATCATTATTGATAGGGCTGAATTCTTATGATGGCCACTGCCATTTACCCGATCTTCCTCATTATTACACTTTGTGATCTTACTAATTTGATCTTTGGCAGGAACTTTCCCACCCACTTACTACAAATACACAAATGTACGGCCTAGTTGATGACTTCGTTGAAAAGAAAATTTCCTTCACTGCAACCGTCTTTTTAAAAATAATACTCTATGATAGTGTTCTTTTTCAAATAAAAGTTTTCCGTGAAATTAAAATGATACCTTCTGTGGACTAATTGCGGTAGCATTTTTCTATTTAGTACGACTTATCGAGTTAAACTTTTGTTGCACCTGGCCGCCGTTATGTTCATTCCTGACCTATTCCAACTAAATAACTTTATTATTAGTATTTGACTTCGTGTCCAGTGGTTTGAACTGTCTTTTACAGCAATGTAAATACAGTTTTCATGTCTTCATTACATTTGCTTTCACATTCTGTTTTCTGCATCTTATTCATTGTATTATTTTATCGTATACTTACATCATTGTATAAATATTCATGTAGATATTTTTCAGTCAATGCTTCTGCGACTACTACATCCTGCCTTTTTCACTTTTGTCGTCTATTTTAATCTCTGATGTGACTGCATGCATTTCAGAAAAAAGATGTCGGTGATCAACTTCTGAGTTAAGGTTTAGTAGACTACACTATACTGTTTCAGTAAAACTATGATGTTGCTTAATGTCTTTCGAAGTTCCTTTGTTTAATGTTAGTCACTAGTCAAAACCCATTTCCCATAATTTTATCACTGATATGCTTTTAATGAGCAAGTAAATTAAAATCACTTCTTGAGCAGTTTAAAGATCCAATCTACAAAACTAATGTGCAATATAATTATTAATGTTCTGTGCTTCTCTGGCGGTCAAGATACAGCTGAAATACGCTTTATTTAATACTGGTCATTAACACATAACCACGAATAAATGAAACTCATCATAAATAAACAAAAATGAAGTATATCAAACTAACCAGTTCAAATCCTTTCAGTCCTTTTTCACGTGCTATTTTATTCATCTGGTCTAAGATATACACTCGGATTTCTTTCTTAGTGCATAATTCTGCATTCGTTATTTCCTCTGTTTGTTTCTTATCCAATTCAACTGGATCTGTTTTTCCATCAGATTTTTCTTTTTCTAAATGAGAAATAATATTTGCTGCTTCCTTGCGTAACTGTTTAAAGTCTGGTTTTGCAATAGCTACTGCATAAGATCTAAGCTGGTGACCCTCCACATAAACTTGTTGAATGAGATTACAAGATAAATACGTTTGTTCCACTTTTTCGGGTGCTACATATTCACCTTGAGATAATTTGAACAAATTTTTCGTACGATCAACTATTTTCAAAGCTCCATTCTAAATGAAGAAATATGCGTGTTTAATAAAAATAAAATGTATCCACTGTCATCAGCAGTCTTTGAAACAACTGTTTTCACATAAAAGAGACTTACAAATACACTACTTTAACAAAATAAACTTAATTTGAATAAGGCATTAAGAAAACAAATTTTGCGAGATGATATCATTTCGCAGTTTCCTTACAACCGCTTTACAACTAACATGGTTAACAATAATAAAATAAAGTTCATGACAATTACTCAGTTAAATAAAAACGAAAATACATACTAATGACCAATCATATTTAGATAGGTCAAGTAGTCCAGGGTATTTTATTATCTGAGTAATTGTCATGAACTTTATTTTATTATTGTTAACCATGTTAGTTGTAAAGCGGTTGTAAAGAAACTACGAAATGATGCCATCATCTCACAAAATTTGTCTTCTTAATGCCTTATTCAAATTTATCAAATGGACTAATTGTTTTAAAATAAACTTAGTTGTTTAATTTAGCCGAAATAATTTATAAGAAAGTTGAAAAAAATGTTAACAAAGGCAGGACTTAATGAATTCTTCAAATTTCGGTAGAACTCTTCAGCTGAATACTTTTATACAGGGAGATATATATATATTATTGGAAATACACTTAGAGATATAAGATTGGTAATTAAATAAATTACATTGAATTAATCAGGCAAGATGATACGTGTGAATGTTTTCCAGGTCATGTTCAAATAGATAAGGGGAAGGGAGTAAGAGAGATTAAGATAAAACGCATTATGTTATATATGTTTGAACCAAGTTGGCTTTTAAACAGTTTGAAACAATTTCGGCACTGGGTATATGATATTCATTATGCTCCAATTACATCGCTTAGATAAACAATTAGTCATTAAAGAAAGAACTTAAATAGATCAAGAATTGCGGAATGAGTAATATTATTAGTGCTGAAATGAGTTAAGATAATGTTACTGATAAAAGATGGCTTTAAATGAATCGGGAATAATAATAATAATAAGGCAGAATAAAATAATAATAATAATTAACACACATTACCATGGTAGATTCAGAGTGACGACCATTTTCTTTTGTACACAGAGAGTGGGAAAGACCAGTCGCCAATCCTTGACACTTCAAAATTCGTATATCACTTTGAGTGTGTTTGTGGAAGCAAATATATAGGTCGTACAGAAAGGCGATTGTCTATTCGCACGATGGAGCACTTGCCAAAGTGGTTGAAAACAGCTGAATTCAAAGTGCCAAAAAGCTCAATAACAAAGAATCTTGTGGACTGCGGGCATGATATTGACGCTGTCAGATCATTCACTGTTGTTAGCAGACAAAGAAACAGGAAGATGCTTGCAACAGCCGAAGCTTGTACGATTAGATTTTATAAACCAGGTCTCGGTGTACAAAATAAAACGGTCGTTACTCTGAATCTACCATGGTAATGTGTGTTAATTATTATTATTATTTTATTCTACCTTATTATTATTATTATTATTCCCAATTCATTTAAAGCCATCTTTTATCAGTAACATTATCTTAACTCATTTCAGCACTATTATTATAACTATTACTAATAATATTACTCAGTCCGCAATTCTTGATCTATTTAAGTTCTTTCTTTAATGACTAATTGTTTATCTAAGCGATGTAATTGAAGCATAATGAATATCATATACCCAGAACCTGTTAGACAGTGGAAAGTTAGTGAATATATTATTACCTAAGCTTTTCAAAGAAAGCGTTATAGTGGTTTGGTACTGAATACTGCTAATACCTTTTCAATTTCTTTCTCTTGTGGTATTCATTAATACTACCCATAGGTTTACTTTCAGGCAGCTTTCGATATCTGCCATGACTAGAGCCCACTGGTATTACTTTACCTTAATCAGTCAGTCCCAATAAGGTTCCCTATATCTAAAGGCTTATACTAACCTTGGGCTGAAACTTGTTAACAATTTTCACAGCTGTCTATACAAAAAACTGGATATATTGACAAACCTGTTCATACTACCACTCAAAATGAATCTTCAGCGAACTCCTAGGTAAATTCAGACTTAACATTTGATATATAGGCTGGACGCTTGAAGGGTTTCAAGCTACTTCAGCGTCAATTTAGATACGAGCACACACGTACATGAAATAAAGCATGAAAAAAAAGTTAAAAGATAAAGCAGCTATAGTTGGACATAACAACCCTATAAATAATCAATGCATCAGTTCATTCTCTTGTTATAAACCACCTATTTCCTGATGACTAACAATTGTGAACTCTGAATATATTCACTTTAATCCCAATTTTCCATAGAGATAAAATCAAGAGAATTTTTAAAGTGGTAGTCGAGTTTTCTAATTTACAGTCGTCTTAGTAGCTATACATGCTTTACTGAATGATAAAAGGATGTTTTAAAGCGTAAATAAAAAGCAGAGCGAATGTTAAACCAACAACATGAATCAATATACAAAAATAAAATTGTAGGAGTTTATTTTTAATACCCTCCTCTGGTTAGGAAGCTTTCAGTGAATCGAAATAAGTATTTCTTATATTAACAAATTTGTGGAGCTGTAGTCCTGTTATTTTAAAGACTTTTTTGTACCTATATCACCTATCAACATGCTAGATCTCATATTGTAAGAGGAGCGGGTACTCATGCTTTATTGCGAAGGTTTGACAGTGAAAAAATATAATTAGACAAATATTTGTATTATTTCCCAGTACGAAATTTCGCATAATTCTTAAGGCATAATAGACACCCTTGTTTCTCTTTCCTTAAAGCAATACACTTACTTCTGTCCATATTCCAACATCGCCTGTATGAACGAATCCATCTGAATCAAGAGTTTCTTTAGTTTTTTCTTCGTTTTTGAAATATCCAATCATGTTACTTTTACTTCGTACGCATATCTGAGTAAAAAATGTAATGATAAGATTTTTAAGTGAGTCAAGTCATGCTTAATAATAAAGCATTCGTACAATGTTAGACAATCGTTTATTTAATTTAAAATGTTCCTATTCTGAATATGTTTTCCACTTCACTTTCGATATCAAATGTCATTAATATAAAGTCACATTACATGTTCTTTGCTCGATGTTAATATTACCCGTTTCAACCTCTAAGTATTTCACTGGATAAGTTATTATTGTCTCCTTTAGTTCCCAGAGGAAAAAAGGGATTCAGCCGCACGTCTCCACTGCGTTCCTTCCCCCGCCAACGTTTTCACCTGGCTCCACGTTTAATCACATGCTTTCATATGCTCTTCCCATGACCTCCTCCCTGTCACACTCGCACTGATGACGAAGTCACCGCTTCCCATTCGGGTTCCACTCAAACGATGGCCTGGCGTGTGATGTCACTCACTTGATCGTTTGTTTTCTCTGAGGATGGCCAATCCAATCCACCTCCATTTCTTCCTGCATATTTGTTGCACAGTTGGTTCTTGTTGGGTTGGTTCGCTCCCAGAGATATCTCCATGTCGCTGATCTCTTCTGACCGGCCATCTGATCTTGAGTATTGAGCGAAGACAGCTGTTGATGAAGGTGTGTAGTTTGTTTGAAGTGGCCTTGGTGACGCGGCGCAGCGCCAAGTCTATGATCCGAATAGTAGCAATGAATTCACATTGGAGTTGAAAATTCGGATCTTATTTTTCATGCTAAGCGCTGAGTGCTGTTTATCTGCACACAGACTTGAGAAAAGTGAAAGCTTGCCTTCCTTTGATATCCCTGTAGGTTCCATTCGCCTGTATTTGAAGCGATGCTTCCCAGGTAGGTTGGGAGGTAGGTGAACGAGGTTGCTTCTTTCAAATTTCCCCCATTTATGCTGGCTGATTGTTGTCTATTGTTGTTGTTGCTGTTGCTGTTGACTAGCAATCTTCATCACCTTTGTTTACTCTATATTAACCTGAAGTCGTATCTTCTCTGGTTGCTTCTTCCGCCAACTTGTTGCCCATTCACTTGTATATCTTCCAGTTTGTGGTGAATCAGAGATATATCATCGGTGAAGTGAAGATCCTCCAAGTTTTTTGTGTGGTTCTATTTTATGCCTGTCTTCTCGCTGCCAGCCGTCTATCTGTCGCATTATCCAGTTCACCACAACCATGAAAATCATTGGAGATAGTAGGCAGCCAGCTCGTCTTACTCCTGTCTTCACTTCGAAGGATTCCGTGAGTTCCCCGTTGTGGATTACTTGGCGTGCAGCATTGTCGTACAACTGTTGGATGAGATGTATAATTGTCGGTGGCACCCCATAGTAGCGTAGTAGTTTCCAAATCACCTCTCGATCGACGCTGTCAAAGGCCTTTTCAGAGTCGATGTAACTGAGGTGAAAAGCTGATTGCCATTCCAAGCTCTGTTCATTGATGATCCGTAGTGTCGCTATTCGATCGATGCATGACTTGTTTCTCCTGAATCTAGCCTGTTCCGGTCGATGTTTTTCATCCAGGTGGGCGTGTCTGATTCTCTCCAGGATGATGCGGCTTAGTGTCTAACAGTTAGAAATAATTTCAGTCATTTGACGATAATTAATAAGGAAAGAGGAATAAATAATACGAATTGCTGAATTTGGCTTAATTTAAGTCATAAAACAAGAACTTGGGCTGTGAAATATTGATTCTCACCTAATGCCTCACTGAAAGCCTTAGACTACATTTTATTGGCTTTGCCTGTCACAATGTACCGATTTAGACTTGTGTTGTTTCTAGTAGTCATTTCAAAATGAAATGCAAAAAGGATAAGTACAAATCATGTAAATAAACGCAACGATTGGAGGGAAACTTAAACAAATGTGGAAAGATGAAAGCAGTTTATTGCATAAGTGGTAGTAAATGGACGTACCACATGATATTAATGCCCTATAACAGAACTCTTCAAGCCCTTCATCTATATGCTAAGTGAGAGGCAGCTTGAAGAAGGATAGAAACAGAAAGATAACCATCAAATAAGAACTCCGATGTGTAACTATAGATATATGAGGAATCCATTTCCTATCGACCTAAGTTATATACCTTTCCTCTTTTTCCACTCTATCAGACACCATAGAAAGCTATGAGGCAGCGCTTATGTAAGAAAAAAGTTTGGACACTGTGGTGGAGTATAATTCTACAACGGGATAATTTTATTTGAAGTATCATACGATGACAAAATATCATTTATTCCTGATAGCTGTATGAGCTCAGTATTCCCATATGACTTCCAATGGCTGCATTGCATTTAAAGTCTTATGTTTATTTATGTCAAAATCTTATCCACTCTCATGTTATTTGTGGTCTGAGCTTTCAGCAAACTTGCTCGTGTCGTTTCAGTAGACGAACAGTTTACCATGTAAACCAGTTAAACATATGTGTAATTTATTCCTTCTAATACATCCACATAAAATCTTTTTAGTTAGTTAATAATGAATTTCTATCTGCGACCTGACAGAAAATCATATCTCTGCGGTGATTCGAATTACTATTACTCGTTGCAAGTTACAGAAGAATTGCTCATATGAAAATTGCCCCATTTACAGTGATCAATGTAGATGTTGGACCTTTATAAATGAAGAAGATTTATGAATTAATTTTATTCAGAACTTAAAAATGGCGAGTTATACATTCATTGAGAATCGGAGAGAAATATTTAGTGAACATATAGTAGTAACATTTTGATTTGTAACAATTCATATATGATTTCTTTGCAGCATTTGAGGGTAAAGCGATTTTTATTAAATGACCCAACATCCAAATAAGTAATTAGTGAAAATGATACCCTAATGGTAAGCTCGAGCCATGAAATTTATCAGATTAGTTATTTTTAAAAGTAAGGCAAGAAAATAATGGTAAGCAATACAAAACTCTTGATAAATGATTTCTCATTAAAAATATTATTCAGCTTAATCATAAGATTTCAAATTATACTCACAACATAAACATTCTGAAATGTTATTATATACTTCATGGCTATAGATTGTTATTATGTGTTGCTTTTCTTAGCCTAATGAATCGGAAGTGCTTAACGTGTATATCTTGTTAAAACAAAGTCTTCTCACATTGTTGCCTCGTTACGGACTACATATTTACCTCTAATCTTCCGATAAACATTCTTATCTCAACTCTTCTTGAGTTACTGCTGAATTGTTTATAATAAGACTGGTACTACTGGAATTACATTGATTCTTCTAAATCACTTAACAGTGAAGTACACTTAAGTATGATAAGTTAATGTGCTGTGGATGCTTACTCTTCGGGTTTAAAGGACTGAAGGTAGGTTAATTGTCAGTAGGAAACATTAATGAAATTTATTTCATCTGTCACTTATTTATGATACAATGTAGTTAATGGGCAGAATTATAGTGGAATTCATAAAATTTAACAATAAGTAACACTAACCTCTCCCATCCCATCTCTGGACACAAATATATCCATATCTGGTACATCTATTAGTTTAATTTGTATACCAGGCGCAATAGCTCCCACATGATTGGCATCGACATCTTCGAACATAGTCCCTGAAGCAATGCCAGAGGTTTCTGTTGAACCGTATATTTCAATAACCTAGTAAATACATGTGTAAGGAAACATTTTTCACCAACAAATGAACATTGGTAATCGTGAAAAAAACGCCTTGAACACACTAAACTGTGTTAAATGAAACAGAAGGAATAAAGACAACTTATAGTCAATAAAACGGCTACTTACTATTTAAAAGCTGTATAAATTAGTGTTATTTTTGTAAATTAAGTGGGTTAATAAAAATCATGATTAAATATTGCATATGAAAAAAGAAAACATTGTATCACTATTTGAAATTCAATGTTTGTTTTAGTTTTAAACTAACCAGATTTTTATATTTGCAATACGTCACCTTTTAATAAAATCTCATGACATCTCCCATAGTAAATACTCTTGTTCAAATATTAGGGATGTAAAATTGAGTCATAAGAGTTTTCTGTTTCCACATAGCTCTCAATACAGTTTTGTTAGGTTAAATGTCTCTTTATGGTATTAAACATACATCATAGGAAGGTTGGTTAGTAAATCACACATCCTAGTCAAGTTTAGAGGATAAGAATATAAGAAAAATTTCAGGGAATTATGGCTCTTTTTGTAAACATTTTACATTTTTATTAGTAAATTCTGAAGGAGGGGGCATACTTTGATTGGACACTAGTAACTAATATGATGTGTCTAGTACTTTTTTTGGTGCAGATTGAACTCTATTACTCAACTTTGCAATATGACTTCCATGCTAGGTGGCTCGGCATCACGCTGCACACTGAACAGTTGTTATTAGATCACTTGCGGTAGTCGTCAGAACGCCTTGGACCTAGGTTTCGTGCTAGTTGGCGCTCGTCAGCAAGGCGTATCTGCAACCTTGAAAGAACTCATGTCCTTTCTGAGATTCAAACCCATGTCACTCAGTGCTGCAGTCAGAGACGTTACCACTGAGCTAATGAGCATAATGAAAGCAATATTTTAGATCTAAAAAAAATCCAAAAACCGACCGAGTAATAGCTGAAAGAATAGTGTGAGTGCCCATTTCGTCTATCCTAGACAAAGACTGTGTGATAAGAGGAAGAAATGCGTGGGAGAATAACTTATTCTGTTTAAATAGGGAACGAAATGATCCTGATCACACATTTTCATCAGTTACAACACTCCTCATTAAATCTGATAATAAAAAATAGAATTTTCAGCTTCTAGAAGTATACAAATTCATCTCTTAAAAATAAAGGAATCTATAATTTTGACTACGTTTCTTATGTACTTATAAACTTACTGACACTGATAATATTTGTTCTACTTACTGCACTGTAACTAAACAGGGTGTTCTTTCTTTAACTTATTGTCTGAAGAATTTGCTTTTAGGTTGATAAAAAGTTTGTCTTATCTGTACTGAAACCAACACCTACCTAACAATAATTAAATTATTTATCAAAAGGGAAAGCCGTGACCAGTAGGGTACAGCAGGTTGAAGATGAGACAGTACCTCATCGAAGAAGACATTGCGAAATGGTCGCGTTATGTCGTGAATTGGCAGAAGTTAGAATTCAAGAACCATTGGATCGGTTCCCAGTGACTCAATGGTCTACGAGCTCGCTTCGTAAGCAGAAGGTCCTGGGTTCGAACCCCTGTGGTGGGTACGTACTTCTGAAGAGTCCCAAACTAGGACGAAATAGCTGTCCAGTACTCCCAGGTTTTCCAGTGGTTCTCTAACTGATGTCAGCTCATAATGAAATCCTCCATGCAATCAAAAGGGAAATCTCTTAATATGTAGCGCCTTGTTGTTTGTCTCTATCTGATTTTCAGAAATCTGAAACATATTTTAACTGAGTGTACTCATCACTCCTATACAGCTGAATGCTCATTTTCAGAGACAGGTGATATTAAATTTAGGAGTGAATTCCAAAATATCAGTGACTTCTGTTTGAATTAAAGTCTTAAGCACAGTAGTATTCATCAGGCTAAATCCATTTTTGTTGATTAGAAACAGTCATTCTTACCATAAATACAAGCTTGTACATTCTGAAAAGGCATTTAAAATAGAAGTAATGCAGAAGTAGCAATTATTGAAAAAATCAAAAATGAAATGTTCTCTGTTGATTTTAAGCATTCTGTCTTTGATTTATTTTACAGCTATAGAATTTGTTTAACAGAATAGGATTCTGTGTATTTTTTTATCGAGAATATCATAACTGATAAATGATATTTACTCCTTCCTTTGCATTATGTGACGTATCATGTATGAGGTAACTCATAATTTTCATACACATTTTTATGTGTTAGACTGTTGGCTATGCATTTTATAAGTTAGATTAAAACAAAAGAAAGTCTTTTTTGGACTTTTAAACATCAGGTGATGAAAGGTTTTTCATAAATTGAAGACAGATATCACTACATGGCGAATTCAGTGAGTCAGATTATTGGAAGTCACTTAGGATTCCTTTATGGGTAAAATTTACTTTGATAAAGTCTCACAGTGTTATACAGTAATATTTACTGATGACGTTTCGAGCACAATTTATTACTCACGATCATAATCACCTTGACATGATTATGAGGAATAAATTGTGCTCGAAAAGTCATCAATAAATATTACTGTATAACACTGTGAGACTTTATCAAAATAAATTTTACCCATAATGAAATTATACTCTACCACAGTGCACAAGTTTTATTCTTATATTAAGTCATTTAGGATGTTGAAATCTTAGGAAATTCAACAGAGAATACGTCAGTAAATTTATTTGGATAATGGGTTGTAATAAAGCGTCAATCAACTGGAAAACATAACTGAAAAACCGTGGTTTATGTATTTCCTATTTAAATATTTATGCCTAATTATGTCTCCATTTTTATTTCACCTTCATAATAGATGTAATGGTCGAATTTGGCAGCTTAGTAATTCATTTGTACCAGGAAACCAATTTATCGACTTTGAGTATACGGATGATATTGTCCTTCCAGTCAAATACACTGATAATATGCAGTCTTCTAAATACCTTGAGCAAAAATCTCAGAATCGTATATATGGTGTGATTCACACATTTTTATTATGAAAAAGTATGATTTGATGGTGTTTTTGTAGGACAATTATCTGAAAGTTTCAACTTACAGGACAACCGAAAATAGCTCTAGTGAAACTCAAAACATCTCTATCTATTGCAGAACTTGCAGAAATTATAGTTTTGACTTGACCTCCAAGCATTTCTCGAAATTCGCGGAACAAAAAGTAGTCCACTAGTCCGTTTGTGCGATATAGTCCTCTAAAAAAAATATTAATCATTGGGGATTACAGTGCAAAATATCTTTAATATTATAACAGAAACATACTCAAATTTTACTTCCTTGTAAATTAAATTATCGAGAATGAAGTTTTATTCTTACATTATACATAATTATTTCAAATGTTCAGAAACATTTTACAATGGAATATAAAAATGCTTGAAAGTGGTCCCCGACTGAATCATTCACTATCTTTTTCTTTATATTTCTATCCTTTCTGAAATATTTAGCTGGGAATACGATGAAAAGGAATTCACTGACTGGGTTCCATTTTAATGTTGTTATTATCCTAGGTTTAGCCAGCAAAGCACCCAACATGAAATTAATGATAAAGCTTGAGAATAAGTTTGATATTTTGAGCTTTATGATTCAGGGTGACCGAATGGTAACATTGAAGGTTATGTTTAGTGTAAAAAGCGGATGAAACGGGAATTGATACGATAGAATGTAATTGAGGTTTGGCAGGGTCGCCATTCACCTGTACAGAAATGCTGCATAGAAGAGAACAACATCAAGTAAAATCTTGCGAAGTTAACGGATACCCTCCTGATTGTGAACTGCATTGGATTTTGAGCATAGAGTACATGAAATAAATCTGAATTCACTTTATCCCAAAACCTTTGCTGTTACTGCTTTGAGAAAATTTGTAAAGCGAATTAATTGTAGGAAACGTAGAAATAACTAACAGAAGCAAGACACTGCTTCACTATAGAGGTGGTAGTCATCATAGTGACTCAGGGTTCAAATGTTAGATCTTGTGTTTAATAGTAGCAAATGTATTAGGGAATTAGACATAAGTGAATACTTTGCTTAAGAACGTTCTTTATGCTGTTAAGAGGTTGACTAGTTTATTTTAAAGAAACTGCATTTGAGTCCATAAAAAGTGGTTGAGTACTTGTTTCACATTACTTTCTTAAGCAAATAAGAATAGTTTTGTCTTTACATTTGCACATTTTTGTAAACATTTCATTTCTAGCACCGCACGCTCATTTAGCAAAGCGGTGGTTTATTGTTTAGCCGTTAATAAGAAGTGTTGGAAAATTTTACGATTACTGAAAGCATGCAGCAGACATTAAGTAGGAGTTGTTGTATCCAAAGATGTAAATCTGGCCAACGTGTTTTAATTATTTCATTAGCCTCATGATAATAGTGTATCACAGGATTACTGCGAAATTTCACCATGTTATATTATAGATTTTATATTTATTAAATAGTATTTGCTGAAATACGGTTAAAAGACCTAAGCCGTCATATGAAGTTTTCTGGTAATGAGGCCCTTGTTGAGTTGAATCTGTTATTTGGTAGTTTGTGATTCGTCAATTTTTTTATCATTGTACTATTAATTGTGTGCTATTGGAATTATAATTAATGAATATGTAACAGTTAAGTTCAATTGATAATAACTTACTCTCTTTGTTCATCTAATCTTTTTTTTATTTCACGCTCACAGATTTTCCAAATTATAGGCCTTGAACGCATCCTTTTAGAAAAATCACCATAAATTCTAGTGAGTATTCTTGGTACAGTACAGAAAAATGTAGGTTTGTATGTTTTAAGATCATCAAATAAAGATCGAATATCTGCAGTTAGGAATCCAATCCGAGCACCGGAATATGCAGCGAAGGCCTAAAAGAGAGAAAAAAGAAACAAGAATAAGAACTTTCACTTATTTATGAAGTTCTTTTGTTTGAGTTGTACTTTGAAAACCGAATATGTGAAGAGAAAAAAGAAAAAAGTTTCGTTTTGAAAGCCAATAACTGACTTGAAGTTATGATAGCGCTTGCATACTGCAACGGCACAATGAGCTGTACTGGCTGAAATGAAAGTTTGTGCAAGTTGAACCATTCAAAAAATTGGTTAGTTGTATAGTTATTGAACCAAAAGCAGTTGTCATTATTGTGTTCTGCATAATTTGGTAGTAATTTGTGGGTTAAATCGTTATGCCAGCCAGTAGAAAAGTAGCAGTAACAATGTGTTTCTCTTGGGAAAAAAGCAGTCCAGTCGTACTATCTTTCAGAGCGAGGGATTAGGGTGTACCTCTAGATCTATTCTGAGATAGATCGCAGCTCGTTTTTAGGTGTCTTTTTTCATGAACATACCCTACGGAGTATAGCCTTAGGAAACGTATCGTGATTGCCCTCAAGAAAATGCTGTCCAGAGTCAGGGGTCTTGTAACACTGATGGTTTTTTTTAGAGTGGTTCAAAAAGAAATCAGTTACCTACAGACGTTTCCATAAGTAAACCAGATCCCTCTATTAAGCACCTGTTTTCATACTTTTGCTTTTATTCTACTGCCAACACCATTCTCTGAAAGTTTTTTCACCTTTAACTCTATGACAACTGATATTGAATCAAGCCATAGCAACACTGTTCTTACTTTCTAAAGAGCGGCCCGTCGATTTAATATTGATGCTTCTGAATTGCGGACCTTATTCCATATCTGAAAAAATTCCAATTGGCTGAAACCACGATATTTCTGGGTTTGAATTTATCACTTTCAGAAATCGGGTAAATTGAAGTGATTCGGTTCTCCGAAGTGAGTCATACTTGGTACGCCGCTGACTAGCTAGACCCAAAACGAGAGGAACGGATGTACGATGTTGAGATCACTTTGATCTTGCTACTAAGCACTACTGGTTAGTATGAGTGGTATACAACTACTCGTCTCACTCATCAGTATATAGTTTTATACAAATATGCTCTAAGACATGATTGCAATTCCTAAAATACGTTTTGATGCACAGAGAAGGAAGCTAAGCCAACTAGAAAGGTATACTGTGAGTGACATTCCAAAGAACTAACAACAATCATAGTCTCTTACAACTTTCTTCAAATAACCACCTGTCCCTAGCCAGCACTAATTTCCAACATAAACAGAGAAATTGTGACACCGAAAAGATATCTTTGCTGTACTTCTTTTTCTTCTCAATCTAATGTTCCAATGCGTATTTTCCACGATAAATGATTTCATTAAAAAATAATTCACACCTGAGAAATATGACACGGGAGATACGTATAGCTAGTCACCTCAGTAAAGCAAGAAAAACAAATTCATTTGACTGATTTCGATCATTCTTTACTGGGGATCCCAGGACCTATTTTACAAAGGATTGATTAAGCCTAACAGATTTTAGAAAATGTTTACAGTGGTTGATTCGTTTTCTTGCGTTAGTTAAGGAGACTTGTTCTCTCTTGATTAGTTGCTCCTACCGATTTCCTTAGATGTAGTTTTATTAACTGTCCGCAAACTTTCTGTCTTTGATGAATCCTAAGGCTTACTGTATTACTGTATTGTCAAGATCATGAAGCCGTTAATATCCTATTGAACATAGTGACGATGATTTCATTACTTTGGGTGGTGAACTGTCTAAGATCAAATATTAAAGCTGTAAAAATAATGATAAAGTAACATAAACTTATGCTAGGTTACACTGACATGAACGCAAAAAATAATTTTATGTGAAGTATATGTTATCGAGTCCAGCCTATTTGGCTGTCCACGTATTTGTAATATTTACTTACTATTGTTAGTTGTTCCATTATATGTGATAAAGGCAAGTATGAAAAATGGGATACATCTTCTCTTGGAAAGTACTAAAAAATAAAAAAGAATATCCCTTTCAGGAGAAGTGATATTCTGAACTCCAAAAAGTAAATATACTCATAATTCCTGAGGAATGGAAAACAGTAACTTATTCACACGGTTAAGGTGCACAATAGGAATATGATTTCTTATTAGTCAACCTCATTTGCTATAACACCCAATGATGCAGTGTTAATAACTAGATGATGCTCATAATCATTTTATTGTGCACAGACGAATTCCTGAGTAAATACACTGACGTGGTTATGAGCAGTATATTGTGGTTGAAACGTCACCTAGTTATTAGACTGTATCACTGTGTGTTATATCAAATAGGCGTATCCAATACGGAAGGGAACAACTTTGCTTAAATCGAATTTAAATCATCTAGTTAATATTCCAACTGTGGGTACATCCCGAGTATCACATACCTATATTATTTAGCTGAGATGTCATACATGATACATTTAAGGTTGACAGAAAATAAATCCATAGATATGTGTCCCGTTATCTTCTTTTGATGAAATAGTACCCTAGGATGAATACAACTTCAAATACGCGAAATAGACGCTATCCATATGAATTTGTAGATATGCATAATTTCATTGAGTGACTGAAGTCTATATATTTTACAAGTTCTTGGCAGCAAAATGCGTCATACGTAGTGCTTATTCAAGGTTCAAATACTCAGCTACAGACTTCAGATGTGTGAGATAATTTACAGCCGTTTTTATACCAACAAACTTTTTAAAATGTATGCCAACTTCGGTTTTCAAGGGAGTAGAATCATTTGAGGAGTCTTATTCGGAATGAAAGTTAGATCAGTGTGAAAATGCTAAAAGAGTGAATGTATGTGTCCTAAATCAATATAATTTAATTATTGATGGGAAAATTTCTAAATAGCTAAGTGAATTATCTTCCTTAAATTCAGGATTTTTGGTTGCTTAAAGTATAAAATTAATATACAGTTATGAAGGAAAAAATGCACTTTGAACCCTTATACTTTAACACTTAGACCATTCATCTACACAGAATCACTAGCATTTGGGTACTCTGGTAGAATATAATTCCGAGGTAGATAAAATTTTAACAGTGAAACATTATTATTAACAGTATATATAAATACATATATTGATACTAACATTTTCTTCTTGAACACTGATTATCTGCCATAGTGCATTAACATAAGCTTTACTTGTTATCATAACTCCTTTGGGTAAACCTAAAAATGATATAAGCGGAAATATGAGTCAGTAAAACCTTTAAAATTATATGTAACCACTGAATAAAAAGGAAATAGTTAAGATTTCTCCCTCATTATTTTAGCCTGAATGTTGAAGGACTTTCGACTATATAATTAGTTGCACTAATCTCAGTATGGGGATTATTTTGCATAACTTTATGGTGGTTCAAATAAACGTTACACTCTGATTTGTCCAGGATATTCATAACATAAATAGTCTAGACATTTATGAACTTCTAACCCTATTTCAAAATTAATAAAGTTTGATGGCATAAAGGAAACTGCTTAATTGATGAACACCTTTTTCAATTTCTAAATATCATTTGCCTGCCACAAACATGTCAAAGCATTTGAATTACCTCTTAATATTGATGAATGTGTTGAGTCTGAGTTACACTGCAAAGTCAAGTAGGGATCAGGAAACTTGCTAGACCCTTACTTGTTCGCGGTCGTTTTTGTGGTCGCTGACAGTTGATTTATTTGTATGTTATACTTTTGTTTTTAAAATTAAACTATCACCGTAAAGTTCACTACCTTAAACGCTATACATCTACGTTTATTTTATATAATATGTAATGGTAACAGTCCATTCAAAGCGTTGTGTAGTGGATTATTTAACGTTTTTAAATGTAGTTTTGTTCATATTTAAGTTACCAAATAAATTATCACTGATACGCGGGAAGTATTCACTGACAAAATTAGTCAAATGTTTGTTTAATAATGTTCTATTACATTGAATACCGAAAAGTGACTCAGGTATATAAAAGCAGGCCTATAAATTACACTTTTGCGTACCTATCACATAACTCAATTACAGTTCGTATCACGTTACTTTTTAAATGTTTTGCAACTAAAGAGAATAGATCATAGCTTAATCAGGCAAAAAATGTTTACATATATATATGTATACATAAGGTGAATTTACCCAATGATCCACTGGTATAGCATATCATGACAAGATCATTATCTTTCGGCACCTATAAAGAAATATAAAATGGGGGATAAATTCCCAATATTTTTAAACCTCCGTGATTTCATAATATGATGCTTTCATAATTTTATTTAATTTTTTGAAATAATCACCACTTCTATGGTTGCTTATTAATTTACCAAACGCAGTAGTCGTGATCAGTAAATTAATCTTTCAATTAATTTTCCAGAGTAAATAAAAATACTCTGATCACAGGAAAAAACTGTTTAAACAATCAAACAACCTTTAGAAATGAGACACGATATGAATAAATGTGCGGAACATGGAAGCTGTGACAGTATTTAATTTCATATTCGTTTGTTTAATATATAGACTGGATAATCAAACAGCGTTATTTACTGGATGATTTATCAGGTACAATTTACTGTTTTCTAATTCATATCAAATGTGATATCTATTTTTATTCTTGTGTTCCCTTATAGTCTTAACTTAGAAAGAGTTATTTGCATTCCACTTCAAACTTTGTAACTGCTATAGTCTGATCCTTAAAGTCAGTTATGTTATGCAATGACAATTATTCTTATTTCTTTATGTAATTAAAAAAATTCCCATAATGATAGTTATAGAACACAATTTAAGCAAACACATATTTTCTGTAAATTCTCATCAGGATTTATATTGTTCACATAATGAAATATTAGTCATAGGCACTTGAATTAATGTGGTTAATAAAACATAGGGTCAGAGTTCAGGGGTATGAATTAATGGAAAGCAGTTGAGGTGATCATCATCATAATAACAACAAGGATAAATTCATTCAAGTGTTTATATAATCTAGGCAGTGGTGAATGTATGGGTAGAATGAGCATAATAGTAGGGGTAGAAGGGAAAATAACTATTGTCAAATAGCGATTAGGTAATATAATAATAATGATAAATTGTTAAACCGACAATAAAATGTACAACTATGGCACAGCATGATATTGATAATACAGTTAGCAATACAAATGAAATAAAATAAAAATATGAAAAGGTAACATTTACAGTTATGCGGTGTCACCGGGAGATATAACTATTTAAGGTTGGGAGGAGGGATGCGAAAGCCAAGGGAGGAAGAAAGATTGAACAAATGTTTTCTGAACGCAGAGAATGGGTTGAAAAATCTTTGTGGCAAGTGCCTCAACTATGCTTAGCAGCCGAAGACATATCAACCTAGGGGGTTGGGATGGCCCCCTACATAGAATTGTAAAAGATGAATTTGCTCTCTGTATTCACTAGACGTGCCAGTATGGAACTTCTGCCCAACCACGTTGGACAATGCTCCAGAAGATGACGGTGGACATATAGAGTCGTTCTACCTATGTAACTGTCTCCACGTGAACAGTTAAATTTATAAGTGCTTATTGAAATGGCCAGAGTCGATAGCTTACCCTTCACCTGCATTAGAATTATACAACGAGTGGCGCATTGTCCACCGCTTTGCGTCTAAGCCAGGGCTGTAGAATGCTCGCCAACCACACATGTGGTCCGGGGTTTGATCCCCGGCCAGTAATAACACTGGTAATGAAGGAAGGTTGGGTATGCGGCTAGCAACCCCATCCTGTAAAAATAAACACCACTGCAACCGAAACTTCAAGACTTTATCTTGAAGCTATGTGTTCCACTGGGAACGTTAAGGAATATTTAAAAAAAGACTGAGTGACGCTATCAATGAAACAACGTACTATCGTCGATATGTCGTTGATACGTTTGTTGTTTGTAACGACATGAGTCAGGTATCCTTATTTTTTGACTGCCTTAATGTGATACAGCCAAACATTAAATTCACCATGGAATATGGACACAACGGTGAGTTCAATTTCCTGGACGCAAATGTAAAAAGAAGAAAAGATGGAACGGTTGAAAAGTCCATCTACAGAAAAGAAACCTGGACTGGACAGTACCTTCATTGCAACAGCTTCTGCCATATGAGCTATAAGCGGGGATCAGTAAGGACACTGTCCGACAGGGCCAGGAAGTTATGTTAGCTTAACAAGGTAGAAGAAGAATTAAGGTTTGTTGAAAAATGCCTTAAAGAAAACGGGTATCCAAAGGGATTTATCCTAAAGTACAGCAAAGAAAGAGATGAGAGAGTGGGGTATCTAACAGTTGAAAAGAAAAAAGTGTTCATTTGCCTCCCATACAAAGGAGAAGCAGTATAACAAAAGATTAAAAAGAAGCGGAAAGGAGAAATAAAGAGATGCTTTCCTGCAGCTGAGCTGGTGACACTACACAGCACTACATGCTCTATAGGCCAGTCGAAACTGGATAAGTACCCTGCTGATGTTACCTCCAACTGCATATATAATTTTACGTGCATCTGTGGCAGCAAGTACATTGGAAGGACAGAAAGAAGGACTTCTATCTGGTTTTCAGAGCATATTCCAAGAAATTTATGCTTAAAAGGAAGCAGATATTTACAAAGTACAATTACCAGACACCTCGTGCATACGGGTCATTTTGTCGAGATTTCCAAATCCTTCAAAATATTAAACATACAAAGGACAGGGAATTTACTAAGATTTACTGAAGCGATTGCAATCAAACGTCTCAGGCCAAACTAATGCGCACAGAAATAGTGTATTCAAACTCTCACTCCCTTGGTAACCGTATTGCTTTCATTACACTGATTATTCATACACACTAGTGAGCTCAGCTCACTAAGCAAGTTTTCAATTTGATGAACTTTAACCTTCTTGAGTTGCCATGTTGACGTACAAGCTAACACTTTATTAGATTTTTCTGTTTTCTGTCTTCTCTCATCCCCCCTTTCTTCATAGTTTGATATCATATTAATTGATGGTAATTTAAACTAAAGATTGTAATACTTATATTCAGGATGCGTTCATCTTATAATGTGTTCTTTATTACCTTTCAAACATTGAAGTATGAAATGTCATTATTTATAACCATTGTATTTTCAGGTAGTTTGCAGCTGATGAGAACCTGTGAAATAGAATGAAATCACTTTATACCTCAAATCTAGTCTTTCTTTCTCTGTCGAAATTAAAAAAGACTAATTATTCACTATGTAAATGTTAAATCTAATGAGAATTTACTGAGAATACGTATTTGTTTAAATCACGTTCTATATGTAAAGCAATATTATGCAGTGGTCAGGGATTATCCTTTCAAAAAAGCATCAAAAATATATTCCTCATCTCACATAATTATGTAAAAGTTCTCATTCAGTCATTTATCCTTCCATAATCTGTAGCACTTTTCTCAATACTTATTGTGCATTACCTACCAGATCATGCTGAAACATTTGAGAAAATGTTTAATGTTGGTGTCAACAACTAAACCGGCTTTTACGTAAGGTTGTTTTCAATTTAAAAAAAATAATATTAATTAACTCACCTTTAGCGGTAAACATTGAGATTGTCCTCTTTCCTGAAAATCCAGTAACAAATAAGTTTTATCTGTTTAAATTTAAGTGACTAATATCTTGAAAGTAATAGAAAAATTGCAAGAGATTTGGCATTGATATAAACATATATATTTCTATGTCTAGATACAGAAAAACAGTTCATTTCTGGAAACAGATAACAAGATTTCGGCTGCAAAAATAAAAATTTCCTGCCAACATAAAATTTTTCTCATAACATTCAAGAGCTGTTTAGATCCTTACATTCAGCTACAATAGACGAGTGGTTTGACGGAAAGTCATGTTTATTGCAATGATCTTTCAGTGAGTTTAGTATTTTTAACCGGTCATCAAGTTTATCATAGGTCTTACAAGAAAGTAGTTACAAAATAGGGAGATAGAAGAAATAATTTGGTTGGTGAATATAAATCGAAGAATCGTAAGTAGTTTCTAAATTTATATTTCTCCCTCCAAACTCTTATTTCGTATAATCTGAAAACTTGGTGAAGACAGCATACATTCAAGATACTTAACGAGTTGGATAAAGTTATTTTTGATTGCACACTAGTCAGTAACTAGTGTAATGTGTCTAGTCCTATCTTCGGTGCAGACTGAATTCTATCAGTCATGTTTGCAATGTGGCCACCATGCTAGGTGACTCGCCATTACGGCGCACTGTGAATTGTTGGTATTAGATAAAGTTACTTTATACCTAATAACTTTCGAGTTCAGTTTAATTTTATTTCTATTCTACGTGTTCAAACAGTAAGAATAATAGACCTAAGAAGTCGAATGACTTTTAATTAGTGAGGACAGTTATTTATTTATATAAATTGGTTAATCATCATCGATTAACTGTGCCTAATAATTGCATGCACATTTAGTACAAAGTAATACTCTCGACTCGGACCAAACATGTCCGGTTGTAGTCTCATTAAAAGTTACTTCATTTTTCAAATACTTAAAGAGCATTTTTAATTCGAATTATAAGAAACACTTTTGCTGTCTATAGGAGTGTCAGAAGATTGCGAAAACTGTAAAACAAGCAACCTGGATTACACAGCTAGTCGTTGACAAACAGGTGGTTTCAAGTTAATAAATAGGGTAATATTAAGCCGTTTACTAAAGGAAGCCAATTAACTGTTTTCAGATAGTTCAACGTGAATTTACAGCTGTAAATATAGACATGGTATTTATTTGTATCTCTAAATAGATGGATCATGGTGCACGCTGATGCTACTTACTGCAATATTATTCTCTTTTAAGAATTATTCATACATAAGTGGACTTTAAACATTTCAGTTCTTCTTAGGTAAACAATCAGACATCATTCATATTTTGACAGTGATAGCAGAATTTCCAGGTATCGTCAACTCAGTGGTTTGACTATGATGAAACTGTGAACTCTAAATATCTACAACAAAGGGTCAAACTTTTTTGGTGTTTACAAAGTTGGGTTTTGTACTTCATATTTGTTTTGAATGGTGGTGATGCACACAAATAACGCTATTGTTTTTTTAAAACATCGAAGACGTCACTTAGTATTTAGCATATGTAATTTAATTTTATTTCATGAGTGTACAATCTACTTAGAGATTTGATGTATATTTTTAATTAACTGCTAATCACAACATAGCTGAAAATTATTTATGCATACATAACTGTACTAGTAGTTAAAAAAACAGTATTACAAAAAACCGAAGGTTTACGATTCTCTAAAGGTCCTAAACTAAGGTGAAACAGCTGTCCAGTATTCTCTGCTGGCTCTCCAATGGTTTTCTACCCGATTTCAACTCATGATGAAATCCTGTAAACAACCAAATCCGTGCAAACCAACACTTGATAAAAGACAGAACTGTCAGCTTGTAAATTTTAAATTAATAAACTTCTAATATCATTTCGCTTGAAATTATAGTTTGGAATATTCATCTCGGTTTTATTTTTTTCTTTTCTAAAAGGTCCCCCAAAAAATAAAACCTAGTTCAAAGCACTTAGTTACTTTCATAAATGTCAACAAACGAAAGAAGAACAAAATTTATTGGGATCACATATTGCCTCTGCTAACTGCATCCTGCACAGTTTCGTCATGAAGATTTTAATCTACTAACAACAGTTTCAAGAAGAAGTATAAGTGTATTTAAAGCACAATACGAGTAACGCTTAGGTAAAGATGAAGAAAACTTCTAAATGATTCAGTGTATAGGCTTATAATATAAGTCACCAGCATGGTTAGTATTGCTTTAAGAGCTAGAAGGCATCAGTTTAACGTAACAGTGAAACTAGGTAATTTGGTCTCTTGTGTAAAAACAAGTTTAATAACACAGATATAGTATTTTTACTGCAATGAACTCAATAAAATTAGTTAAATATTACTAGTTAGTGTTTCTGCTAAGACAAATCAACTTTAGTCATAAATTCACATTACCTAGAAAAACACACTAAAGCGAATTGTGTTAGACAGCTATCTCATTATCGTTTAAAAAGCCGAAATGCATTTCAAGAGCAATGGTACTCAGAACTAATAAATTGTATGGCAAGCCTGTTCTGTTTGAGTTTAATTACGTGGAGTTTCTTAAGTGTAGATGAGTTGCATTGTGGGTCATCGGCAGGAAAAAAGAAGCTTATTCCTAATAACCGTCATTTTGAAATAAAGAAATTACACTGTAAACAGTATTTAATACCGTCTAAAACGACTGTAAAATACATTTTGATTAACACTTACATTGACTTCTTTCCTTGAACTGTGTTTGCGAATTATGGCAATAAGAGCTTATTCACTTATATACAAGGTTCTTTACCTACTTGATGTAGCAATGTTGAGACGCTGAATATATTTTGATAACATTTTTACCATGAATAAATGGCTGAAACGAAATCTTAAAAGTGGGCTTATCCGAGCAGTTATGAATACTTTATCATTTCAACTTAATTTATATTTAATGAAAATATATACTGTTGTATTTCACTCAACATACCAGCATTTCTTTGAATGTGAATAAATTAACTTTGTCTGATAGCTCCTTTTTCACATTCTCATAGGTGTCATCTGGCTTCATGATGATAAATGTTTCGACATACGTCGGTAATAATTTGTATAAATGACAGGCTTGGGATACTGTGTCACATACAATGATTCTTAACTCCGCTAAAATAAAAAATTAGTAATAAGTAAGCTGAACTTCGGAAAAACATACATTTTGAGCAGAATAAAAAAGTAGATATACAGTAGACTGGATGCTGTTTATTAAAAGGCATTCTGTAAATCAGTGACGTCTTTCTATAACTTGTAAAAGCAAACAGTTAATTATTTCTAACCAGATATATTATTAGCTGACCACTGAATTTATGAAATTCTAAATATTTTTTACTCACAGTTGATAAATAATGTCGAAGATTTGTCACTCAAGTGGATGACATTGGCGTAGTTGTGTCCCCTGAGTTGAATAGTTTATTTATGAATCTTTTATTGTATTTCTAGACAACAGCGCAGACTTCAATATGAAGTGAACAGGGAATTCAAAAAGGTTCACAACATAATGAAGTTTGCTCTGAAGATGTTGTCCGTAAATAAGCCAACCAACTCAAAAAGCATAAATACACTGCAGTCGGCTTATTTTTTAACTTCAGTTATGATATCTGAATAATTACTTGGCGTATAAGACAGAATCGTTCAAATAAAACATTTGAGAAATGAAGCATGAATAACTGAAAGGCAATATAAAATAAATCTGTACATGTACAGGAGAACATGTTTAACAAACTAGTTCGAAATTTCAATTGACAGCTTCCCGCTATTTAATAATATAAATCAACATTAATCATATATACAACGCAATACCATAGACACATTTTTGTACAGATTTTCACATGAATTTGATTAACTCTGTGCATTTACGCAGTCATGGAACAAAACTCAGAATGTGCATAATAAGTGTTAAGTAAACTCTTAGTAATATGAGTTGTTTTTGTGCAAGACAGATATCATCTAAAAGTGGATAATTCGAAATGATGATAACCGACGCCACCTATCACAGTAAAACTTTGGGTGGATTAAATGTCAAATAACATTCATTACACTGAGATAAATGTGAGTGTACTTGAATTGTATTCATAGAACGATTGCATTACCTATGTAAAGTTATATATTACTGGTTGACATGAGTAGTCGGATACCACTCATATCAAACAGAAGCTCTTGTTAGCCCGATCAAAGTTATCTGAACAACCGACGGATGTTCCACTCACATGAGGCCCTGCTCGTCAGCAATATGTTCGGTCTGACTCAGCTCAAAGAGCTGAATACTTTCTGACCATCCGTATTCTGGCTAGCCACTTTGACGAACTACTAACACATGGAATTAAATTCCCACCTTTCAGGCTGCAATCTGAATAATAGCAGTCTCTAAAGGAAACTGTGGAAATTTTCACCTCAAACTGTATGACTTGCAAATTGCGAATTTGGTCCAATTGCTTTGTTACCAAAATTAAATTGGCCAGTACGTTGATAGTTATCTAAGTTCAGTTGCATTTTCTGTTAAAATAGTATATATATGTATATATTTGTACTAGACTTCAAACAGGAAGCTCAAGAAAATAATGTCCGTATATCGTCAAAAGGTTTGAACGTTTCTGAATCCACTGTTTTAGCCAGTGTTTCATTAGCGCCTATCTGCAAACTTCATGATATCGGCTGACATTTTACGCTGTGTTAGGCCATAAGAACAAGCTGATTTAAAGATTAATCAGCCAAATAATATTATTTTTTTCTTCTCTGCATATATAATAGTAGATTGCAGCTAGGATGAAATTAATGGTGAGTTGTAGCGTCGACTGAATGGTCTCAAACCAATGTGTTTGATATATTGTAGTGCTAGCTCAAAACCTGAATGTATAATTCACAGTCGTCAGTTGGGACAAGAAGAGTTAGATTAGTTAAAGTAAACTAATCGTTATCAGACTGCATAGTGAGAATCAACTGAACCTTTGCGTGGATGCCATCATATTTTATAGATGACTGCAATCTGTTTAACAATCATACTATTATGCGACATGGTTCCACCGCACTAACAACTAGGCATTTACTGAAATTAACCTCATTGGAATCGGCCTCAGACGGCATGGATTCATGCACTACTACAGCTTTATCTGTGATACTTGATTGAACCACAATCAGGCTTGAGTGTTTACTAGGTATGCCCTACTATTTGTTGAATATCGTAATCCTCATTGCAAACAAGATGATTTAGGTAGGTCAGTTGGCTTTCCATTTAAATTAAACATAAAATAAACCTAGATTCACCAGCAGCTGCTGATTCTTTATATAGATAGCAATTGTTGCTGAGTGCAAATGAGACAGTTATACTTTTTTTCGGGATTCTTTAAAATTTCATGAATCTTGCTTATATAGAGCGCAGAAGTATTTTATTATTGAAAATAATTGATTTTCAAATGTTTGTGCTTACTCTTAAAGGTGAGGTTTAGAATTAATTGGGAAGTCTGTGTATCTATGTGATTTTAAGTCCAAATGAGGGTTTAGTGAATCAGATTTATGTTGGATCCAAATACTGAAGGTCATTTAATGCAACATCTCTCGTACTTATTAGTTGACATTTTGACTGAACTGTTTATACATTTTAGGTCTAATACATTTCCCCATATATTTCGATAACACTTTAGTTACTTATTCTGGTTGTGTGCTACAGAGTTGTTTCTGCTCTCCAAATCAGTTGGTTTTGTAAGCACAGTAATGAAAACTATATTGGAAATACCACATACAATTCTAATCAGTTTACATTATTGTTATTTAACTGCAGCTGCTTTTCTTCTTTAATAATAATAATAATAATTTGCTTTATTCCAAAACAGTACTTGTGATACAGAATGGAATTCTCAGCATTTTTTACTACAGTATTGCATCCAGTTAGTACATTGTCAATAAATAGAATTCTACATAGATTGAGGAAACCACAGTTCATTATTACAACAATACATTGGCATGTTCAGTAGTAAAGGTAAAGCTGAAACAGTGTTTGAAGGTGTTAGAAAAGTGGGAGCTGTCTTATTAACTGGCGTAAGCGAAAGAAAGAGACAAAGCAGCACATAACGGAAAAAGAAGAGAGAGAAAAGGAACAGAAAGAAAGGAAATGTTGAACCTATTGATGAAGTGGGTTGGAAAGATGAGATCCAGTTGTACTAATGACTATTTAATGAATTATAGGTGTCACGCCTAATGCTTTCTTTATCACACAGAACGCGAGCTAAGTAGGGTATGGTTGAGTTTTTGTACTTGCTGGTGCGAGCATATAGTTTTCTATATTGGCTTCTTGTTTTACCTGATGAGATGCAAGGGGAGAGTTGTGAGTGAAGAGGGTGGTGTGAGTTAGATAAAATGGACTTGGCCCATTTTTCACATAAGTCCATGTGCCTGTCAACCAAAATATTAACAAGCTGGTTAAGTGGCACGTTGCTTACTCTGCTGACAACATTTAACATCCTGCGTAATATGTTATAGTCTTTCTTCAGTAGCCCAGGAAAAACTAAGGGGGAACAATAGAGAATAATAGGCAGGATGCGAGAATTAACGAATTGTAGGAGTAGGGGTTGGGTAATACCAGAATGTTTATATTTTATATTTTATATTTTTATTAAATTATTTCTAGTGAGAGCTTTTTAAATGTGTATATTGTACGAAGTTCATCACTAAACAAAAAGAATTAAATTAACTAGTATAACAATAATGCATGTAGTTTAGCTATTGATGGCGTTCTATGCTGAAAACTATCTTGACAGTCAGCAAAAAGTAATGAAGATATTTTACAGACAGACAAATTGAATTATACACTTATTTATGCGAAATATATGTATATATATACGTATAAGTATGCGTATAATACTAATAATCTTACTTTCACGACAGACATGAGCCATTGCTTCATCACCGAAAGTACTGTACAGCGGGACTGTAACCAATGAGTATGCAGTGTTGGCCCATTGTGTCATTATCCACTGAAGTGCAAGAAATACTTCTTATTATTAATAATACTAATAGAATGAATATAAAAAGTAACAAAAGATCTTATAAAAATGGAGAGTATACCACATTATAATATTTAAAGTACCGCTTGAAAATAAATTTTTCCCACATACTTTTCTCCAACATAATTATTAGTAAAATATGAATTTTAAAAATTTTGTTACTGTGTTAGTTTATCCACTAGTCAAAACCATGCAAACAGCTCAGAACTGTACTTCGAGATCACGAATGTAAAAAGATATTAAACATTACTTCCTTCTTTTAATGTCAAACTACATTTAAAGCTTCATGATATATTTTAACAAAGATGAAAGTATGGAACTTGATTACTATAGTGGAGTGTAATTTCATTTCATTATTTAAATCCCAAATATTGCATTACGAACTCCTGGCAAACACAGTCTTTAAAGCGACTAGATCACATCAAAAACCTCCTCTACGGAATAAGATTTCAAATGTATTGGAGATAAGAGTCAGATCATTAAAAGAGACAAGTGAATTTTCATGTGAAATGACCATCATCAGATATATCGACTTCAACACTACACATAAATCGATTAAGTACACAATAATCAGGAACATAAATAAAATGAAAAAGGATTTTGGTTGTAATCAAACGTAAGTTAAGTGAAATTAACAACATAAGACAGGTGAGGACGTGAAAAGCTAACATCAAAGTTTGTACATGAAGAGCTGAAACAAAGTTGTTACACATCGAAGTAGCACAAAAATTAAACAGAAGTTTGAAAGAAGGTGGATCACGTGAATCATAATAAGAGTCAAATGTATAAATAATTGAGAAATATTTTGGATCATGACATTAAATTTCTGCAAAAGGTGACTTCTAACATTTCAGCCTTATATTTCACTACAACTGTTAAAGTATTTCGGAACAGCAACTTAAATTCCTAAATCTTGATTCTCAGTCGTTTTAACAGCGCTTGGCAAAGAAGTAGGCATCGCAAAATGAGTAAAATTTGTCTAGACAATCCTATGGCTTTATTGTCACATCCAACAGTTATACGATAATGCTGCCTGCCAAGTAATCCACAACCGGGAACTCACGGAATCCTTCGAAGTGAAGACGGGAGTAAGACAAGGCTGTCTAATATCCCCAATGATTTTCATAATTGCGGTGGACTGGATAATGCGACAGACAGACAGCTGGCAACGAGGAGACAAGCATAAAATAGAACCACACAAAAAACTTGAAGGATCTGGAGTTCACCGATGACATATGTCTGATTCCCCACAAACTGGAAGATATACAAGTGAATAGGCAACAAGTTGGCAGAAGAAACATCCATAGAAGATAGGACTTCAGTGAATGTAGAGAAAACAGAGGTGATGAAGATTTCTGGTCAACAGCAACAGCAACAACAGACAACAATCAGCCAACATAAATGGGAGAAATCTGAAAGAAGCAACCTCCTTCAACTACCTACCTACCTACCTGGGAAGCATCGCTTCAAATACAGGCGAATGGAACTTACAGGGATATCAAAGCAAGGCAAGCTTTCACTTTTCTCAAGTCTGTGTGGAGATAAACAGCACTCAGCGCTCAGCATGAAAAATAAGATCCGAATTTTCAACTCCAATGTGAATTCAGTGCTACTATTCGGATCATACACTTTGCGCTTCACCATATCACGAAGGCCACTTCAAACAAACTACACACCTCCATCAACAGCTGTCTTCGCTCAATACTCAAGATCAGATGGCTGGCCAGAGGAGATCAGCGACATGGGTGGATCTCTGGGAGCGAACCAAACCGAACAAGAACCAATTGTGCAACAAATATGCAGGAAGAAAAGGAGGTGGATTGGATTGGCCATTCTCTGAGAAAACAAACCATCAAGTGAGTGACATCACACGCCAGGCCATCGTTTGAGTGGAACCCGAATGGGAAGCGGTGACTTCGTCATCAGTGCGAGTGTGACAGGGAGGAGGTCATGGGAAGAGCATATGAAAGCATGTGATTAAACGTGGAGCCAGGTGAAAACGTTGGCGGGGGAAGGAACGCAGTGGAGACGTGCGGCTGAATCCCTTTTTTCCTCTGGGAACTATAGGAGACAATAATAATAATACTTAACAGTTTGTTCGGTTTCACAGTAGTCTGTCCCTGTTACAGTGAATTCCCAACTTCAAATCCACTTTTGAAAATGCTCCTTTTAAACTGCTATTTCACATGTAACTTCATGTGATGATTTAAATGACTTCGGTTCAAATCATTTTTCGTGTTTAGCACCCGCGAATTCGTTCTGGAAAATTCATTCTTGTAAATTCGGGTAGCTTTATTACAATTAGAGTTCAGCTGAATAAATATAATGGATTTGTTTAGTAAATTTAAATCAGACTAACGATGCATTTACCAACCAGGTCAATGCAAATTTCAATAGGAAAATAGGAGGTTATTCAAGACAAATAAAGTCAGTTTCTAAACTAATGAAAATAAGTCGGTTCTGACACTTCTTGGTAATGTAATCAAATACGAAGTACTAAGGTAGGTTACACATAGTAATGTACTGTCTTTGCATGCACAACATTTCCAATTTCTTCCACATCAAGAAATCACAAAACTGTCTGTTTCCGTGTTTATTTTTATAATCCTTTTTAGTATAATATACATGAATGATTTTTGTAGTATCTTGCAGTAAATGGCTGTCTGACCCCTGGAGTTATCAAAGTATAGAAGTTCAGTTGCTTTTTTCAGTCCACTCGGACTAATGTTTTGGAATTCTTATCTGCATAACGGGGCTGTGGCTCATTAATGCAAGCACTGGAATTGTAATTACAGGGTCACGAGTTCCAGCCCTGCTTATTCTACCGAGGTCTGGGCAGTAAGTTAATGTCAATAACGCGCACCCGATTGGTGTGGCTAGTCGCAAACTGCGTGGAACTGCAAGTGGTTGTTGAGTAACTTTCCATCAGCATAATGAGTTGCATTTAATTCCTCCCTATCTAAATGCGTCCACACATACGTGAAATGTGAAATGACGCGATTGTTTATTCTGTATTTGGGGTTAGCTATACGTCAAGTTTAAATGATAATAGATTCCGATCTCTGCCCCCAAGTTAATATGTCCTTTTTTAATTAAGTTTGATGTGTGCTTTCTTCATGAAAATTTTAAACTCTATTTCTTTTAACTAACTTTTTTGTAACAATAAGTCATCGTTGGCTACACTGAAAGCTTACCTCAGGAGAATTTCGCCCATATATTCCGACAAAATTATTCTTAGGATCTGTCCCAAAAAGACTTGATATTGCTGATCCCAAGTATTGAATTTTTTCATTCACCTAGAAGTGACAATGATATAATTCATCTGTTTATTAGGCCAGCTTACTTCTTCGTAGGTTATCCATTTCACTGGTGAATTTAATGACTCACGAGATCCAAAACAAGGTTTACATCCTAGTAAGTGTAAATAGAAAAGTATACATTAATGAGTATGTGTCAACGAAATACATTTTGATTTTTATTCGTTTTTCATGTGATATTATGAACACAAACCGATGAATTTTGTTACTTCAATCCTCAATCATTTTTCCACATCCACATTTTTAAAAGGTCTGCTCACAGCCTCGAACTGAGATAACTACATCATACTAGGTAGAAAATAAGTCAATTAAATGTGAAGTTCCTATGAAGTTTTTCAGAGAAAATGAATGAAGAACTTAATAATGGAATATAGGGACCAAGTGATAAAGATCACTTAGATTCGAAATATTTTCCAGCATTCTTGCTCAATTACCGAAAGATGATTTAGTCAAAAACTAATCGTTCTGAAAAATTACATGTGGTGAAGTACAGTATGCGCTGAATATTAACTAGGGACAAATTAATTAAAACCACATTCCAGCAAACACTACTTCAGTTGTATACCAAATAAACAATACTAATGCAAACTAGTTGTTATATGTAAACCGCTAATCGATATTTTCATGTCAAGTATTTTAAGTTTTAGGTTAATCAAGTCTCTCTTAAGAACTATTTAGAAGAATCTGAATACCTTTCACTGCGAAATGTTATAAACAGGTTAATTTCGTTCTGATTTAAGCACATCCCACGTCCTAGCTGTTCTATTCTGTTTTTGTCAGCGAAGCTGCAGTCACCAACTTTCGACAATGCAACAAAGACTTTCAGATTTATTTATCTTCTCCTAATACCGCATAGAACTTCAGCTAGTAGTTCAAGATATTTTTTTAATTAACCAGCACAAAATCATTGTCCCAGTGTTCCACACAATTCATATTTTAACATAAATGTAAGAGCTAAAATGTATTCTGATCTTAAACGTCTAGAAGGTCATTTAGATTTTAACAATCAAAATTGGTCATTGTCATTAACATTTTGTACGACTACACCGAATTTAGTCAAATTTTATATGACCAGATTTCAAATGCAACGGTTGTATGTGTTTATCTTAATTTAAAAATAATTATTACACACTAAAATGATTCAATTAGAAATAAGTTCAATGAAGATATTCATTTTAACAATGTCTTCTTTCATGAATTCTTTGGTTGTTGGATTTAACCATATATGGTGGCTTAGGGTATCCGCGTGAAATTGTTGTGATGTTAGTGTATTTAGTAAATTGAGACTCACTGAAATGCCTCACGTTGATGCATGTGTATTCACACTTTATTGTTACTAAAATTTCTGAAATCCCCACTAATCTTCATCTAGCTATTCATATTCTCACATATCTTTGTCTACCATAGTTTTATAACACTATTTCTTGACGTTCACGTTTGGTTTTCTGAAGTATAGCAACCCGAAGTGATGGACTTCTAGACAAAGTTCTACTTTAACAATGCAGTAAGTTAGTTATTACATTGTACTTCATTAAATTTGATTTAATATGACGAATAATTTATTTGCATTAGATTGTTCTTGATTTTTGAATTCGTTAAAATCAGCGAACTGTGTAGGAGATAACAGCGATTTCTCAAGAGTTACTATTGTTGGTTTACACATGAGACTGGTGAAGTAGATAGCTATCAGATGTGCCTCGTATCATCATATCTTTAGAGACTTAAATTTTATTTAGTACAATAAACTAGGGATTTAATCTGAAGCAGAAATGGCCACTGCAGTGTCATTTTTGTATTCTCATCACTACTTGATATTTCGTATGACTTCCAAAGGTTAAATAAATCTACCACTTCATGACCCCTATTTTAGCATAAATTCAAACAGAGTTGTAAATCAATGCTGCTTGGACACTGTTTATTTGACTTTTTAACTTAGAAGCGTATCATGTGCCTGTTTGACAATAATAAATGAGAAGGGTCAGTTTTAGCAAGTTTTGGATTAGACAGTTATTTATCTTGGTTACAACAATAAAAGTGATAATGTAAATGATGAAAACCATTATGAAAACTCCACAATATCGTAACAAGACATGTTACCACCGATTTAAAAAAGTTTAGAAAACAACAAAGGATACATTATTTTGCTCAGAGCAAAACAATTCAAAAAATAAACGTGCTAATGATGTAAGACGGAAAAATGAGGTTGTGTTAAAAGTCTGTTACGTACACTGCCTAAATAACAGATCATTACTGAATGAGTTTGCTATAATATCAAAAATAAGAACATGCAAAAAATGATATAGAATATTTTCTTGTTTTCTGCTTAAATTGAGAGATTGATTGAAGAATCATGCAAAAAGAGATGAATGAACTTGACACTAACTTCAGTATAATAATTTCATATTAGGTTAAGTAACCACCAAACAAGCACCAGTAAGGAATATCTGTAAATTATTTCTGCATGCTGAAGTGAGTTAGTTTATTTTCATCAAATTTATAACAGTTATCTACACCCGATGATAAGTAATTTTCTTTAAAATTTTATCAGAATTCAGACATCGTTATATGTCAACAACCGCTGCAAATATATTCCTAATAAGCGCGAGTTCTTCCATCAGTAATATTTCTTCCATGTTTCATTCATACTCTCCTTCCTTCTACATATATGTACGTGCGCAAGGACTTCAACAACTCATGTGGTTGTATGTGTAGCGGTACAGATTACGAAATTTGTAATGACGTCATCTTGAGTCGAATGTAGCTATCTAGATTACAAAATTCTGAATGACTAGCTTCCAGTTTTTCTGTGCAAGTAAATATGTAATTTCGGTCTTTTGATAAAAGAAATAGAATCCGAGCATTTTGCAAGATTATAACTCGATCATGTCTGATGATACAGTAAATAATACTTTATAACTATATTTTATCAAATAAAATTATTTTATGATGGAATTTAGTCATTTTTTGTAGGCTGTATTTATTCATTTAGTTTTATTTTTTACGAATTTATGAAAATGAATTCTTTCTTCACCTACATTTCTTCAGTGACCGCATTCATCAAGAAAACATACCTGCAGTACTTTCATCGGACACTAGTAACCAGTGTGATGTGTCTGGTCTTTTGTTTTGGTGCAGACTGAATTGTATCAGTCAGGTTTGCAATGTGACCACCATTCTAGGTGGCTCACCATCACGGTGCATTTTGAATTGTGCCGATTGCCTCCAACCACCTAACATCAAAATACTTGTCCCACCTGAGATTCTGACTATCCCAACATCTAAGACTTAATCAAGTAGTAGCATATGCTTGTTACGGCTCATCCTATGAAATGGCAAACAGGTTTTTTTCCTCATTGGAGTCAATCTAGTAATTTATTGATAAGCTTTTTACTAAAATGAGTTATACATTCTCAACTTCTGGTCCAGCATAAGAGATAAATTGCTTTCAAGTCACCACCCACTGCTCTTCCATAAGTAATGTGATACAAGCTATAACATAATTTGATATCAAAAGGTATTACTATGCGTGAGCAGGGGTATTATTACATCGATAAATATACTACGCGTTGAGGTACGACTAACTCTCATGATTAAGGTATACTGGAGTCTCTGGATAATTGTTTGAAAAGTTTTAAAGTTACGTCGAATTTCTCACGTTCTTAAATAGCACAGTGTCAAAAACACTGCGTGTTTTTCTCTGAAAATTTCAGATGAAGCATCTAGGACCTTTTCGTTGTATTCACTAACCAATTCGAAATTGTGGCACTCTGAAATAACTTTCATTATGTTTTTAATCTTTAGATTAGGACCATAAGTATTTTATAAATCTGAGACACGAATACCGTTTGACTTTCAAAAGCCACTCAGTTGAATCATTAGACTTTTTCATAGTGTTTTGCGTTTTTCCTTTACAATCACTTAGCCAAACATGAACTTCTTAAGCGACTCGATAGCGTAAGATGTTGTATATCTATCCATACAGTCACTTCATAAGAAAGACAATTAGGTCATTAGTAGCTGTGAGCTGACCTTATAAGCTATTAACACAAGCATGTGCTTAATAATAATAATAATAACAATAATAATCAGATGTTAAATGAAAATACCAAATACGTGCTTTAGGAACAAGTCACAGATCTCATTTAATAAGTTATGCGTATATCGATTCCAATAAAACAATTTTAGTGAAGTTTTGCAATATTTGATTGCAGCATGCTTTGTGAAACAACTTTTTTGAGACAAATTTCGCTATCATAAAAGCAAGAGAATCACACTTTATTAAAGATACAATAATGATAGAGTTGAAATATATGCTCAAAAGACATGTATAATTGAAAACTACATATTACGAGAATAGAAACGTTTCAGATACAGACTTAGTGAGCTTTAAGAAGTCCTTTAACTGAACAGAATTAAGTTGGCAGCTTGAAAAACGTTATTGAAACTACTCCGAAATAAGTTTATCATTAGTAAAGCTTTGAATGACATACTAGTAGTTATCCCCACATATTTAGCTATACAGAATACACTGCTTCTTTTGTCTTCCTTTCATCTTTGTCATCTTACTTCACTTGTCCTCTTCTCCCCTCAATCCGTCGTTTCTCTCTACGGGATTATTGCATTTATCACGTACGATACACTAATTGTAAATTCTTGACATCAGCACACATCATACTCGTCTTCCAACTCTTCTAACCTTTTAGGTGTCACCCGCTGTTGTAGTATCTCGGTAATGACCTCTTTATTCCATTCTATCCATCTCTAAAGGTGGCGGACGTTAACATTTTTCTATTTCTTTACTCTTTTGACGACATAAATAGGGCTATGTCCCCCGGTTATTGCATTCGAGGGAGGAGTTTTTTTATCTTTGTTCGCTTCAAACTGCTCATCTCCTTCCTCTACAGATTTTCCATGATTTTCAATCTCAAAAGCTATGCATTTCTGCTTTCCTCTCTGCTCCAGTTTCGCAGCACCTACCATCTGTTTATGTTTAGTTTTACTGTTTACATCTTCTTGTTCTGTCTCCCGCCTCTTTATACTCCATTGTTGGTGATGTAACCACGTCTTATTGTGTTCCAATAGTTGCTTTTTCCTAAATGTCAGCTGAAACTGTGACTTCTTTGTTGTTACCGGGAAGCTCCGTTCCCTAGTTACAGCCCTCTGAAGCTAGCACCTCCTTTATTGTATGACTATTTTTCTCTACCAAATCATTAATTTTCGGATGAAATGATGCTATTCTAATCCTCCTAACACTTGTTTCCCGCTTCCAAACCCAGAACTCTGATCTATCAGTGTCATCTATAGTACATCGCGGCCTTCAGCATTGTTGAATCACTGGACTGATCATTTTTTGCGCGTTGATCCGATGGCGTCTGCTCATTGAATAGCATGTTTCATCACCACCAACAGGTAGTGACTGCTAATAGTGTCTACTGAAAAAATACCATTACACCTACGGAAAGGGAATCTACTGCAGTAACTGGCATCGGTTGCATCACATACAGCCTAACCTTCATATGCAGCCTTACATTATTACCAGAACCATCAAGACCCGCTCATAAACTCTGCGATCTATGCTGCGGCTTAGCATCTTACCACTTGCAACATACACAATTTGTTAACGTCTATTTACTATAATCCTCACTTTTAAATAGATACCACCGTATTAATATTTTTACCGCTGTCATCATATTTTCCATTTCCCTTACACCTCAGTTTTCCACAAACACTAGAAGACTTCCACTTTAATCCCTTTCCCATGTTTATCGGTCAGCGTCGAGCAAAGAAAATCTAGTAGTTGGCTATTGTTATTAGTTTCGAGAATCTATATACAACGTTGATTTCACAAAAGTGTGATTAATCCTACTAATGTTGAAGGGTTTGTGACATAGGACAAGTCATAGATTTCATCTGAAATTTCACAAGCAAAACTATTATACAGGACTTCCCATCTGCCGTGTGTTTATGTTTCTCATGTAAGTAGATTCACTGTGCACAATCTATGCCATAACTGAATCAATTAACTTCGACTGATACTTTATTTAGTGATGATAGATCCTCAGTAATTCTTGTAAAAAATTGTTGCGAAATGTAGCAAAATGTCCTAAACTTTAAATGAAATCAATGGTCGAGATATGAAATGAGTTTGCTTTTTGACCTGAACCTTTTAATGGTTTATATGAGTGTCAATAACAGCTCTTCTAACTTAAAGACATTCTGACTCCAACGGGGAAAAAGTCCAAGTGTCAATAGATGACCAATAAATTTTTAAGAAAAGCCAAGATAAACACTAAGATTAAGGGTCCCACAGGTATCTCATTACTTGATCAAGAAATGTTTCTGTTCATCTTCTTGGTTAGGGATTGCTATAACAATGTTGTGTCAGATATTTCCGATCCAAAACTACATTTTCAGTTTAGAGAGAGATATTATCTTGATCACCGACAAGATTCATACATCATCATTTTCATTGCTCTTAAATATGCGGAAAGCATTCTGTTGATTTTGTAACTAACAGGAAGTCATTCATTGTCATCACTATTAGAGGAAACAGAGGAGCACGTTTTAACGATTGGTTGACGGAAATCCGAAGACCGGAGCAAAATCATCTTTAAAGAGACTATTGAATAATTTCTGACAAAATTAGGTATAATACCGTGAAATTTTCGGTCACTAGTAATTTGAAATAGACTACTAAAAATAGGGTTTTACTTACTTGATTTTTCTAATCCCAGTTTGAAAAAATCGACTGGAGTTTTAAGCAGATGAATATCTGGAACCTTGAGTTTCCTCACCGATACCCTGGTGCCCGACTAAAACAACACAAAAGATATATGCATATATATTTATACATATGAGTGTGAGTAGATCGCATTCCTTCTTAATTGATTTTAGTTTGCAATAAAATACTTCACATCATGTTAGTCTTAGTAAGAAACTGGACATAAATTTGTGACCACATAAATTCACCATTGAGATTCTGGTAAACTGTATGAGCAGTCACCATGCCCATACATCTTTGGCAAAAGAATTTGTTTTAATTTCCATAGATACTTCTACAATGTGAAATTCGCTCATTCCTTGATATACCAAAAGACTGTAAACTACAGTTCAGAAATGAAATTTGCTAGTAATCAACGGCGGCAAACTAAATTGGTGTATTTTTGATATTGCGTGGGACGGAGGTTTGGAAATTTATTCCCCTCAAAACTGAAAAGGTAAAACTTCTGTAAATAAAAGTCAAAATCTCAACAATACTTCAATCAGCTGTTTATAAGGCTACAGGATTTTGAGAATAGGTGCTAGTATTTTAAGCAGTAGTTTATTTATTCATTGTTTTCACTTCACTTATCCATGTTTGGGTGGTACAGACAGTGTTGCGATTAAGTTGAATCATGTAGTATATTCTTGAAGAAAATGTTTTTCAATTTAGCTGATGCAGTATCTAGAAATGCCCAGTTAAGTTATTCGATTAAAGAGTAAATCATTTTTCATATATTTGGTCTCCTTGAAAAATACTGTTAAAGCAAATTCGGTCTTTCTTGCTTTATCGCTATGTATTTTTGTTGTAAATGTAACAGTGGGTGGTCGAAAGTAAGTGATTTTAAAAGTAGTTGTAGAACTAATCACTGTGAGATTTATACACGGCATATTAGTGAATTTTGAGTAATCCTCAAATTATTAGTCCCAGATTTTCCAACTATTTTCACCTTTGTCATATCCGTGAGCCCAAAATGGATTGCAAGGACGTGAGATGTTTGCGAGAACAATTAAGATGCTGGAGATAAGCGGAGAGGTATAGATTTTCGAATTAAAAGAATGACATAAACCAACTAGCCTTGTATCAGCCTTTTCACTTTTCTAACAAAGCGGTGTTTCATTGAAGTGGGCTAGCTTTTAAAAGTAAGTGAATATATTTTGGACATAGGCACTGCAAACAGTCAACTACTGAAAATCTTAAAGTAATTTGACCTCTCCTAATGGTCATAATAGCTTGCGATTTAAATACTTGTCATACCTGCATAGACGTAACTATATACTCCTGAGAAAGCTGTAGCTCACAAGGAATTATCAATGCGGCGAGTGAATGTACACAAGAATTAAGAATCCGAAAGTCCTTAAAGATTTACTGTAGTTTACTGAAGTCGGTTTTATTCTAAAAGACAAATAAGAAAGTAAACTAGACACTGACTCTAGTAAATTCATATTTATCAGAAGAGAGAGATCAATAATTACCTCTTCATCGATTACAGCTGATTGGCAATCCGTAAATTTGATTTGTCTTAATTTACTTTTCTTCCAGTACTTAGACGTGAAAATGTGCATAATAGTCACGAAGAATACGGCCGAAAAGAACGAGCACACTGGTAAGACATAACTGTTGGTGAGGATCATATTGTGATACTTCTACTTCTACAATGAGATAAAATGTTTAGAGAACTCTGTATTCGTGAGTTTTTAAGTATGCGGTATTATAAAAATAAAATACAAATACCATTTTGGAGTCAAAAGCAGACAACATAAAGTGTTTAAGTGTAAAAATTGGTAATCATAATTGCATGTAATTAGGATTCCTTGTCAAAGAATATTACTGGAGTTAATCTGAAGACAATTCCCATTCACATGTTGGGAAAGCAATACAATAGACAAATTGATTATTTGCCTAACTCAACAAAAACGCTCATTCTTTGTTGACTCATCGTCTCCTATTTTGGATGCCTTGATTGCGTTTGATGATTGCCATGACATCATTTGGATAACAGGGACTATCAGTAAAATCCAGGATGAGTATTTCGCTCTTTTTGGAAGTCGTCAGCAGGGTGCGGGTAATGCTTTACCATTTAAACGATGGGTACTGGGTTTGGGTCTCAGTAGAGACACCATTACTCACATAAAAATCCGGCTATAGAGCTCCACATCGGATGAAATGCCCATGCTGTTTTCTGCTGCCGGCCAATTCAACAATTTAACTTAGGTGGAGGAGTATTTACTTTTCGAATTGGAACTCTAGGCTAATATATAGTGTTTTTCGGATAACATCTTATTTTCTAAATGATTATATTTTGGACTAAAACAATTTTTAAGTCAGAATGCGGAAGGGTTCTGATTAGCTAAAAAACTGGCAAACCTGTTGGTGCTCAATGCACAGCTTGTGTGCAAATATTTGCTGTGTTTGCATGAGCTAAAGACCTCATTAATTGAAGATTCATAATATCAAACGTGGGATGACTTCCATCATTTAATTTTTCACATTTAATCTGAGCATAATTGACACACCTTTTGCACCTAACCTAAGAGAAGACACTGAAGACAAAAACTATGAGCCTTCTTAATCTTTAGCTTTTATTTACAAAGCCTCTTAGTCAGACTTAAATAAACTGCTGTAAAGTACACAAGCCTTCTGATGGCTGGTCATTTGTTTCTGAGGTACCAGATAAAAGGTGATTAGGAGAATTCCTGATGTGTTTGTTGTGTTAGAAAGTTCATTGCATTCTTATTTACTATGCTTTCCCACCATATGGCTAATTTAACCGATATACTTTCAGGCAATGTTACTCATTTATGTTCTTCTGATGTTTCATCAGCAACCCGTCCACTGTGTAAGGTACAACATCCAAGGAAAAATGATCCCCCATTCCGGAAAACATTGCCATACATCCTTGAAATATATTTAAAACAGAGACGTCCTGTAGATTTATCTTACATTTGAAAGAAACAAGGCAAAAAAGATAGACGTTAAAGTACGAAACTTTACTCGAGAACTTGAAGAAGAAGTAGTTAACCTTGAAGGTGAGAACAGATCTGAATATTGCTTGGGGTGTGCAGGATGGTTAACATTTTCTAGCATCCACTTTATTAAAACCAGTGCAATTTTATTACATATGAAATACGTAAAGACTAGATAACTGTAAGTCTCAACACTTGTTTGCTTAATGCCAGTCATAAACAATCTGTTTATAAATGCTAAATGTTTGCAGCTGCATTGGAGAAAAGCTACTGAACAAGAAAAAGAAATCAAGTTTTCTGGTAGGTATTTCTTCACAACAACAACAGCAACACATTTGAAACAGAATATCTGGAATGTCAGACACACTCGCTTCGTTCCTGTCACGACCCTAAATGTCTAGGGGTAAGTTTTTGTCCTTAAATCACCTTAGTAAGGCGTTCATTTTGCACTAACTTGATAAATAATCCTTCTATTGCTGTTGTGTAACCAATATTTTAGTTCAGTAGGTCACATGTAATACTTTTCTACCAATCGTCAATAATTACAACATAGAAATAAAGTAGCCATCTAACCGTACCTCAAACTGTGTCTACGAACATTACACTGATGAAACCCTTAAGGCAATGAACCTGCGTTTGACTTTATTAGAGTTTAAAAATTCAACAGATCATAAAACCATGGAAAATTCCCATTGTAACATATATAAAATCAAAACAGATGATTCAGCGAAGAGGCTCTTTTCAACGAATTTGTCATCAAGCTAAACAATCGTATAAATATGGTTTTTAAGAAGTTATATCCGGTGAGGGAATTGAAACATAGGTGTGAATGCATGAAATAATAATAATAATATGAAATGCGATTAAAACTGAAATGTTAAAGATTATAATCATGGTTAAATGTCAAGTGGAAAAGCAAATTAATGTCATATTTAGAATAATTCATAGGATGGATAGAACTTGAAAAAGGTGTGCAATTATAAGATTAGTAGACAAATCGAAAAAATAAAAACGTTACGTAATATTGTGTGAAATTTAATAGCATAGAATTTAATGTTGCATAAAGGAATTGATTTAGAATGACAAGTGGAGCAAGTGAAATAATACCGGGGACAATTAAATGTGAGAAAAGTAATAGTAACAATTGACTTAATAAGGAAGAGTATACAAGTCGAATAGACAAAAATGAAAAAAATGAAAAACTGGTAGAGCTAAATATGATTGCGGATTACCATATTTTAGCATACAGGGATTAAGACCATGAAAGTTGGAGGGGTTGAACGAACTTTTTCTGTACACAGAGATCTGGCTTTTCTGTTTCGATAGCCAAAGCTTCAGCAATACAGATGAGTCGGGTACGTATGATCACAAACATTTTAGTTTTAATTGCATTTCATATTATTATTATTTCATGCATTCACACCTATGTTTCAATTCCCTCACCGGATATAACTTCTTAAAAACCATATTTATACGATTGTACAGCTTGATGATAAATTCGTTGAAAAGAGTCTCTTCGCTGAATCATTTGTTTTGATTTTCTAGATCATAAAACAGCATACTCTAGTATAAATCTAAGTCAAAATTTGTTCGATGCCACTTTACATATTTGGAAAGAAATTAACTAGCTATTCTGAAAGGTTTATAGATCTGTGCAGTTTACGCCTAATTCACAACTGGATTCATTTGGAAAATGTGTAGAATAGGATATGAATTGTTTACGTGGGACCAATATACAATATTGTTTTTACGAGCTAGTATAAACCAGTTTGATTTCTTTGTGAGGTAGAGGCTCCTGATCTTCGGTACACTTCTGCGTAGCTCGTCGCGCCACTCGACTGTCGTAGCTTTGGTTGACTCCAAAAGAAGTAGTGCATGGATTAATTATATGTGGTTTGTAGTATGAGGTGTGTTAAGACTGTTACTACTGTGAATGGAGTTGATCCTTTCACCAGTCGGTCCTTCGGTATCGTCGTCAATAGAAAAGAGATAATAATGGTAATAGATATAATTAGTGAAGATATTCAGACTAACAGACAGAAAAAGAATAAGACAACGCAACAACAGTCAGTCAAACGGTATATATATCGGTGTAGTTAAAGCTGTCACGAGAGTAAGACGGAAGAGAATGTAAAGAAGTTAAACGACAAGTTTAATTGTCTATCCTTGAGTGGTGCATGCGATCATGAAAACAAGTGTCGGTAACATTGTCAATGCTGATGCACACATCTTAAAAAGGTCTGAATTAAAACATCCATTCAGTGAATTTGTCAAAAAGTAAAAATTGAGAAGGACTTACCTTCATAAACTTTTCGAAGACTTCTGGCTGTCAGTGGATGACTCGAAATCAAAAGCCACGAAAACAAAACTGCCGTTCGAAATAATTCCAAAGGACGAAAGTATATGTAAACAAATACAGTGTCCAATGTCCATTGAAGAAACCACATTGCTACATATATTTCCCTAAAGTTATCATATATTGCAGTGAAAATTTGCAGCCACTTCTAGAAGATAGGGAAATGTTGGTGTTTTCTAATGAGTTTCTGTGTGATCGGAATTATTGCTCTTGATAAGTGTATTAGGGAATTTCTCGTTAGACATTATGCCTATAGAGCTGTTCTGATTTTCGTCGTCATCAGTTTACTTGATTTTGTCAAAAGAAATCGAATGAATTTGTGGTGTCGGGTGTATTTTCATTTAGTCTGCACAGAGACCTTGATATCTTCAAATCGAGAAAACTCTTCACATATACAGTGAATCCGGCATCAATAAATTCAGATACGTTTAAGTGTCGACAGTAGTAGACTATAGATACTTGATACTATTTTTAGAAGCTACAGACAGGTCATAAGAGTGGTGTGGACGTATCGCTGTTTTCCCTCTGGGTGAATAAAAACAAGCAGATTAGATGATATTCATTACATTTATTGTTGGGTTTGATATCTTTACTGATTAGCCGATTTGACAACGAAAAATGATCCCATACTGAGGAACGATGATTAAGTTGTTATATATAAGCTGAGATTTTGTAAATTCTGGTTTAGTAATAAAGTTATTAGCATTAAGTAGCGAAATATCAGTAAAAACAATATCGTTTTGTTTTCCATTCATTGGGGAATACAAAAAAACTTTATTCTAATGAATTTCATATTCCTAATGCCCAAGTTTTTTCAAACTGTTAATAGTGAACTTGGTTTGGACATATATATATTAGATGTTATTAAGCCAGAGATTATAAGCAGAAAAAGGAAATAAGGCTCCAGCTTGTGAGAGGTGTAAGCCATAGGTTTTATATGCAACCTTAATTTTTCTTCTCAGTGGTATTTATATATCTGATATATTTATAACTTTGGAGCGACAATGCAAACATATTATGTGCATTTTATCTTGTATAGATAAGGAGTGCTTGCCTAGCTAAATTTCGTTTACGAGTAATCAAATGACACATGCAACCACTCTACACGGTATACAACTGTTGCCTTGTTTATCTCATACGTCTGGAAGATTTAAGAGCACCCATGAAGATATCGGCCACATTAAGCAACACTAAGCTTTTGGGAACTTGAAATCCCTGGACGTCAAGCTAACAGCAAAAAAAACACTAATGTACGTAGAGAACTTGAGAACTGTGGGAGAATGTAGCCCTATATTAGACGAGCTTATTTTAAATGCCACAAAGTTAAGCAGTATTACCAACTGGATGACTTTCCGAGCATAAATATTACTCACAATCATATCATTTTAGGCGCATGTCTTCACGATTTGTCTAATATATTTTCCCTCTTCCTCTGTCTCTCTTAAGCTTCGTCTACCTAACTGTATCACTTTCTTATGCTCTCAACCTGTTCCACCTTAATTTGTGATCACATGCAAGTGAATACAATGTCATAGCTAGGCATTTTTTAAAGTTATTTAACTTACCAGGGCCAATCATTCTATCTCTAGCTGAACTTTTTTCCACGTAATCTAACTGACACTGATCTACTGGCCTGGATTATGTGTTTGACTTCACAGACATCACATAATTTTCTGGTAAATTATATTACTTTTCTTGATTGGATCTATTGGATCCTGAAGCTGGCAAAGATTATCTCTGAAAGAGTTGTTTGGTTTAAATGCTACCCTAATTCTGCCTTCATTTAGAATTCGAGGTAGGGCCTCTGCCGTAACTTCTTCATGCGGCAGCATTACACAGGCTTCGAATTCCACATTAACAAAATAAACAAACCAGACTGTGCCACGAGAACTCCCATATTGGAAGGGTCCGTGTAGAGAACTTCAAATTTGGTAGTTTCGCTCACTTGACAGCACACCATCGTATAGTGAACCACTATTTGGGGAACTCGGGAATGTTTGGTTAGTTGGAAGGAGGGCTTCGATTCACCGTCAAGCATAGATGCAGAAAACACTACCATAAGCGTAGTCAAGCATCCAGTTGACTGAGAGATGATCACATTGTAATGGTCAAGTTAATCACTCGCTATTTTTTAATTCCTTTACGTTTCCAGTAGAACATAGGTCTTCAAGATAGAGACTTGAAGTTTCTGTAGCAGTAAAGATTATTTTTACAGGATGGAGTTGCTAGATTCTGGGTGATGATAAACGTTATAGTGATAAATTATCGCGCAATGTATGGGTTATCGTGTTCACGCCTACAGAGGCGTTATAAGCGTTTATTTTTGTGAAAGTAGATAATATATAACTGGTTTCAGGCTTCTATAACCGAAAAAGCAACATTTTCCAGTATTATTATTTATTATTGTTCCCTTGGGTTCCTAGTGGAACATAGGGCTTCAACTGCACGTCTCCACTTGCTTCTGTCTTCTGCTGTTCTTTTCACTTGCGTCCATGTTATTCCATACTGTTTCATCTCCTCCTCACACGATCTCCTCCATGTCACCCTTGGACGTCCCACTCGCCGCTTCCCTTTCGGGTTCCACTCGAGGGCTTGACGCGCGATGTCACTCAACGGCCTCCTCAGCGAGTGTCCAATCCATCTCCACTTCCTCCTGCATATTTGTTGGGCGATTGCTTCCTGTTTCGTTTGTTCCCATAGCTTCTTGTTTGTGATTCTTTCTGGCCATCTAATCTTCAGTATGGAGCGAAGACAGTTGTTGATAAAGGTCTGCAACCTGTTGAAAATATTCTTGGTGACCCGCCAGGTTTCTGATCCGTAAAGCAAAATTGACTTGACGTTTGTATTAAAAATCCGAATTTTGTTGTTGATGGTGAGTGACGAAGATTTCCAGATTGGTTTCAGGTTGATGAATGTGTTTCTCGCCTTCCCGATTCTCGATTTGACATCCTCGTCCGTTCCTCCTGTGGTTGAGACAATGCTCCCCAGATAAGTGAAAGAAGTAACCTCTTTCAAATCCCTCCCGTTGATGGTGATTGGCACTGGATGTTGCTGTTGTTGTTGGTTGGTTATTTTCATAACCTCCGTCTTGTCTATGTTCACCTGGAGTCCTGTCTTTGCTGCTTCTTCGACCAGTTTGTCGGTTTTCGCTTGTAGGTCTTCGATTTTGTGTGACATCAAACATAAATCATCCGCAAAATCCAGGTCTTCTAGGTTCTTCACGTCGGTCCAGGATATCCCTGTCTTCTCGTTTCCCACTGTCTGACGCATAATCCAGTCCACCACAATTAGGAATATCATTGGTGATAATAAGCACCCTTGTCTGACTCCTGTGTTTACTCCAAACGCTTCGCTGAGTTTTCCGTTGTGGATCACTTGACATGTGCCGTTGTCGTATAGTTGTTGAATAAGGTTGATGAATATTTGCGGTACGCCGTAGTACTCGAGTAGTTTCCAAATTACTTCGCGGTCAACGCTGTCGAAGGCCTTCTCAAAGTCTATGAAGTTGAGGTAGAGATTTGATTGCCATTCCATGCTTTGTTCGATAGATGATGCGTAGAGTTGCAATTTGGTCAGAACATGATTTGCCTTTCCTGAATCCAGCTTGTTCTGGTCGGAGTTCTGTATCCAGTGAGTCCTTTATTCTCTCCAGGAGGATGCGACTCAGGATTTTACTTGGCGTCGACAGGAGCATGATTCCTCGCCAGTTCTTGTAGAGTCCTAGGTCGCCCTTCTTTGGTAGTATCACTACAGGTAACCTTTCCTCCAGTCAGTAGGCACCTTTCCCTCCTTCCAGACTTTTTGCAATAATGGAGTCAGCATATCTGCCGTCGTTTCTGGGTCCGCTTTCAGTGCTTCCGGGGGTATTCCATCTGGTCCAGCTGCTTTTCCAGCTTTCAGAAGCTTGATTGCATTCATGACTTCAGTTTTCGTTGGAGGATTGGTGTCAACTTGCAGTTGTGTACGTGCAGTTGTTGGTATTACTGGACGGGTTGTAGGTTGTGGTCGGTTCAAGAGTCCTTTGAAGTGGTCCGCCCATTGTTTAATCTGTCTTTCTTCTTTGGTAATTGGGTTCCCTTGGCTGTCTTTTATAGGTTTCACTTGTGTTGATCTCTTCCCGGATAGAGACTTGGTTATCTGATATAGTGTCCTCAGGTCCTTTTTGCCTGCTGCCTTCTCAGTTTCAGTAGCCAGGTTGTCGTAGAATTGTCTTTTGTCCTTCCTGGCACTCTTCTTCACTTCTTTGTCCAGTGCTGTGTAAGTTGAGTTCAGCGTCTCTTTCTCTTGTCCATCTTTGCATTGAATCACTTTCTCTTTCACCATTCTCCTCTTCTCTATTAGTTTCCAAGTGTCTGTTGAGAGCCATTCCTTGTCTTGTTTCTTCTTTCTTCCTAAAACTGTTGAGCACGTTTCGTTGAAAATTACCTTCAGAGAGTTCCAATGGTCTTCCACGGATGATTCCTCAGTGGTGCCACGTAGTGTTTCCTGCTTTGCTCTGACAGTTGCAGTGAAAATGTCCTGTGTGATTGTGTCCTTCAGTTTGTGAGTGTTGAACTTGCATTGTGGCCTATCCCCAGGTATCCTCGAGGCTTTCAGCTTCACCTTGAAAGTCCCTTGTACCAGATAGTGGTCTGAACCCACATCTGCTCCTCTCCTCGATCTTGTGTCCAGTAGGCTCCGTCTCCACTTCCTTGAGATTGAAATGAAGTCTATCTGGTTTTTGGTGTGTCCATCTGGTGAAATCCATGTCGCCTTGTGTATATCCCTGTGTTTGAACACACTGCCACCAATCACCAAATCATTGAACGCGCAGAAGTCTGAGAAGAGTTCACCATTTTCGTTCATTTCACCGAGGGCCTCACGACCCATGGTGAGTTCTCTTCCTGTATTGTCTCCTCCCAGTTTCGCATTCATGTCGCCCATCAGGATTTTGAAATCGCTCTTTGGGACGTTGTCCA